CTTGCGCACACCTCGACTAATCCCCGGACCTACCGAACACCCCGCAAGCTCGGTGGATAGGTAAGGCACCAAGGAGGTGACGAGCGTACGCGACGAGAATCGAATCCGGTGTTATCGGTGAGCAACCCTCAACCTAACAACTAGGCTGCGACCTCAAGCACAATTATTTCTTTCATTGCATTTGTATTGGTCATACTCACAATCTATTTTTTATTTTAATTTTTTGCCTCAATAAAATTAATAGGTTTCCCATATGATATTATGTTGCTATTAACATTTACCGAGCTTGTTTGATATTGTTGTATCGAATTGCTTTATATTATGTCATTATGAATTATGCAAATAATCTCATCGTAATTTCTTTTTTTGTAATAAACAAACCAAAAGACCAAGAAAATCATAAATGAAAATTGTTCATAAGGGGAAGAGCCAACCCCAACATAGTAGCATAAAGCAAAGGACTCAAACTCTCGGTGACACTATCTAGAAGATGGTGATAACCCAAGTTGATTTTTTTTTTTAAAAAAAAAAAAAAAAACTTGGAACACAATGTGCTTTATGTCAAAATTCAATCCAAAAGACCTCAAACAGTAAAATGGGTCAAAACCTATTTCACGGTTTCACTTGCAAAATCTATCCAATCTTCATGAATGAACATAACCAACCCTAAATTGGTCAAAAACATGGTGCAATCCAGCTCCAGTCCAGACAAGAAGAAATATGACCACAGTCTGGCCTCGAAAGTACAAAGGAGAATAGACCAATAGAAAATGAACTTAACAAGTACTAGAGTACCATAGCATAGTTAGGAATGGCATCCATAGATTTAAATTTCGGTTTTTAAACACTCTATTGTTATTATTATTATTTGATATTATTTAATAATCATAATTATTATTTTACTACAGTTTTACATATATTAAGACCCTGTATAATTCAGATTTTTTTTATTGAGATCCTAAATATATATTTTTTTAATTTAAGAATTCTACTATTATATTATTGTTGTTTCAAATCCTAGTCAAAGATAGCTTGTCATATAAGCGTGACAAGCTCTAGTCAATAAAAGTTTGCCACATCATCAATTTAAGCATCTAACTTAGACCTATCTTGACAAGTGATAAGCTTTCATTGATTAGAGTCCGTAACGTGTGCTTACGTAACATATTAGTGATTCGAAATAATAATAAAATAAAAATAAAAATTTTAAATTAAATAAAAAATAAGATCTCGATAAAAAAAATTTATATTATATAAAGTCTTAACATGTGAAAAACTCATTTTACTATCGTAATAATTCGCAATTAGTGATTGCAACGATAGGCTTGTTTTTTTTTTTTTTATTTAATCATGCGCGTGGAGTTTAAAACTATAATGCCATGAGTCCACCGTTTACTTGGTCTTTTGGCATATCAACTCTATGTGTGCCCATATCAAAATATCAGTTAGTCTTTGTTTTCTTTGCCAAAGAATATCTATCATATATTAAATTTTGATTTTCTAATTTGTCCCCCTTATTTGTTTTTCTTTCTTTCTTTATCATCCCATGTGATTAGGGAGACCGACCTCGCACGTAAGGGCTACATTGGAGGGGAGAGACCCAATATAAAAAGGTACCCTACGAACTTTCGCCCTCCCTTCCCATCATATGATGTTTCCTGCCCGCATCTCCCACTGATTCGAAAAGGACCCGTTATGTGGGGTCCCATCACACCCTTGTGATTTTTTTGGACATTGATTCCAGGATAACTAAGTTATAAACTTTCAAATTTTACTCTTTATGAGATACATCTACTCATTAATATTCTTAATGTGTTAAAAGATTTAAGATATCCATTTACTATTTCAAATGTCTTAATTATGTTTTTTTTATTAAATTTTTTAATAATCGTATTTCTTTATTTTTAATTTATGTCTGTATTTTATTTTTTTGATCATTTTTTTAAATAATATAGATAATTTTCGACTTAAGAGTTATAGTATGTTGACACATGATATTAATTTTTCTCTCTCTCTCTTTTAATTTCGAAATGAATAAAATGAAATAAAAACCCCAAATCGTCTCCACTTAAAAAACCATGACCTTCGCCTCTATGTTTTCCAAAAAACGAAATTTCTCTAAATTCTGAAATCTAACCTAGCTTTTTAATGTTTAAAATCAATCGAAGAATTGTCGGTGTCTGAGCTTCTAATTTTTAATTCTATCTATTTTCTTGTTGGTTATTTACCAATTGTAAATCATAGGAGGTAACATGAAGCATGAATTTCTGCAAACCAGATTTTTGTTCAATGCGACTCTACAGGTTGTTATCAACGAAATCCCCGAACATTAATTTCTTCTTCAAGATCTCCAACAATCCTAAACCATAATTTTAATATTTTTTTGTAAAATTCAAAAAATCCATGCTGATTCGTGCCTTCTGCCATTAAAGATGAAAACACAACATCCATAGAGGGGAAAAAAAAAAAAAAATCCAAAACCATGAGATCTGAAAATCATTCAAATATCTCAAATCACAGCATCCTAAAGAAACACCGAATCATCTTCATAAATCACCATGAATTCCACCCATCAAATATGTTAACAAGCACCTTCATATTTTAAGTACTTTTATTATGGAAAACAATAATAAATAAATAAATAGATATGTCTTGAATATCCTAATTGGAAAATTTAATGAAGTGACTGTCAAAGTAATTTTTCAAAGCACATCAGAATTTAATCATGAAAAAACCCATCAAATATGTTTTAATTTTGTGCGAATTGTTTTTGTTTTACATTCTCTCACTCTCTTTTTTCTTTTCTTTTTTTTTTTTTTATGTCAAAAAATATTCTTTGAATTAACTTTCTTATGCATCGAAATTAAATGTCTATCTGATCTTTAGCAATTTATCAACATGGCTTTAATGCATGTTTCTGAATTCAAATCCTAAATTTTACCTCGAAGTTTTAATGTCCAATGTTATTTTCATGAGATAAACATTTATGAATAAAGAATGAACAGGCAATAATGACAACTATTAAAAAAAAAAATTGGACATAATTAATCGAATCCCAACTCACCCATTTAGATCCATAATTAAGGCCACCGACTATTCCTTGCAGCAGCAAGCAACTGGGCATTTTGCAAGCCAAATGTGGGCAATAAAAACTAACTTTACATTAAATACCAGTACTTAAATATAGCATAGATTGCATCATTGATCCTTAAACAAAGGACAAAAATAAAAGTAAAAGATAGCTGTAGGCTTTAATTCTCTTGTCGGTAACTAACAGTCAGGCATGCAACAATAACTTTAATTTATAATCAGCAAGAACTTAACCACCTGGATTTTGCTTCTCTGACCCTCTTTCTTATTTTTCAATGAACCTTAATCTTGTTCTTTTTCTTCATTCTAAATGAATAAATCAATCTTGTTCATTATACAGTTCAAAATCAATGGTTTCTCCTTTTGAGGGAGTGACGTAGCAGAAACTCAATAAAAAAAAGATAATTATTGTTAATCTGAAATTAAAATGTCAATTTACTATAACATGTTGAATTGCACATAAATATCAGGACATAGGCTTCAATCCTATTGCTTCAAGAAATGTTGAGAATTAGAAAAACTGAAATACTCTCTCACACAAGTTTATCAATAGGGCAAAAGTGACGTTTTTCTATATCAAAGTCATATATAAATAATAAAATTTCAGCCAAAACTCTAAAGTAATCTGAAAAGAAAACAAATACTTAAATCCGAAAATGTCAAGAAAAAATTCTAAAAAAACAATAAAAGTTGATTTTAAAGATCTAAACAATGTTTTTTTTTTTTTTTTTGGTCAAAATCACTCATACATCATAGATAAAGCCAATAATTTTTTATTGTTGGCCTATTTACTATCAAAGTAAGTCCAAAACACCTCCAAAATTGGATGGATAATTTCTGTTCAGTTTTTATTGTACTCATATCGTTCAATAAATTCCAACGCATGTTGATTGGCATAAGGAAGAATCCAAAAACACCAGTAAAAGGCACCCAATTTCATCCAAAACAAAGGGGCATGCACCTATCAAGATGATCAATAGAATTCTTCTTGTTTTTTGGTGTTAGGGATAGCAATGGAGTTTCGTCTGATGAAAGCCTGCGTGCATGCCGAGGGGATTGAGAAGGAAGATTTTTATCTGCAAAGACGGGTATAGATCGAGGTGGTGTTAGGCAGGTCACTTGGCATGTCGAGCTAACACCAGCCTATTTAATCACACCTTCCATGAAGTAGATGGACTTCTTTAAAATATTAAGTACTCGTTACTGTTCAAAACAGCTCGAAATCCAAGTCCTAATCTGTATGAAACCAAGTTGACCCCAGCAACTCAGAAAAAGCCAGTTAAGGCAAGGCATTTCGTCAGATCTGGTGCGCTAATCATGTCTAAGTAAAACTTGATAAACAATAAACAAAAGAATACCAAACTTAGTTACATTACATTGAAGTAGTGTTCACATCAAATCTTGAACCTGAACCTGAGTAAAAACCCACATGGGGTTGAGGTTTTCTACAGACCACCATAGCTGGCACTTTCTAGCTAGTTTCCATTACATAATAATTGCGAAGGATGGGATGGATTTTCAACTACCCCATGAAAATAAGGGCATTTTCTTGAACCCCATTTTTTTTTTTTTATGCTTTGCCCAACTTTCCATCTGGAAGCAGCTAGTAGCCTAGTAGTAATAGTGTATAGAAAGAGAAAGAGACAGTGTTAAAGAGGCACAAAGTGGTCTCCAACCAACACCAACCCCACTCCCTTCTCTCTCTCTCTCTTTCCTTTATAATCTTCTATTTCCACTCTTCAGAAATTCAGGGCTCTAACTCAAAATTCAGCTCTCAATTTGTTTTCTCTAATCGTTACACACATTGAGCTATAGCCCTTTTCTTTCCCTTAAAGCATTAACAACAACCAGACCAAATTCTCGATAACAAGATTGGTCATTTCTTGATTTCTTCCCTTCAACACAGAGAAATGGCATCCCCGCCGGACACAAGCAAGACGATAAAGATTGAGCGTTACAATAGTTACCTTCGCAGGCTACACAGCACAAAAGTAATAAATGCCTCTTCAAAACTTCTTTTCCGTGCCACACTCCTTGTTGCTCTTGTCTTGATTCTCTTTTTTACCCTTAATTACCCTCCGCTTTCTGATAATAATCCCAATCATCCCCATCTCCACCACCACAACTTCCTCTCCACTGCCTTCTTCACCTCCTCTTCCGGCGGTGCTGCCTGGGAGAAAAAGGTCCGTCACTCCTCCACTCCGAAAAGGCGAAATGGGCTCTCAGTTTTAGTTACTGGGGCAGCTGGTTTTGTCGGTTCTCATTGTTCTCTTGCTTTAAAGAAAAGAGGTGATGGGGTTCTTGGTTTAGATAACTTCAACAGTTACTATGACCCAACACTTAAAAGAGCAAGACAGGAACTTTTGTTGAAACATGAAGTTTTCATTGTCGAAGGTGACCTGAATGATGCCTCATTGTTAAGAAAGCTTTTTGATGTTGTTCCTTTCACACATATCCTCCATCTTGCGGCACAAGCCGGGGTTCGTTATGCCATGCAAAACCCACAATCCTACGTGAGTTCGAACATTGCAGGTTTTGTCAATCTCCTTGAAGTTGCAAAGGCTGCAAATCCACAACCAGCTATTGTTTGGGCATCATCAAGCTCAGTCTATGGGCTAAACACTCAAGTTCCTTTCTCAGAATTGGATAGAACAGATCAACCAGCAAGTCTTTATGCAGCTACAAAGAAAGCAGGAGAAGAAATTGCACATACTTACAATCATATTTATGGCCTTTCACTCACTGGATTAAGATTCTTCACAGTTTATGGCCCATGGGGTAGACCTGATATGGCTTATTTCTTTTTCACAAAAGACATCTTGCAAGGTAAACCAATTGATGTCTACCAAACTCAAGATGACAAGCAAGTGGCTCGTGACTTCACCTATATTGATGATGTTGTCAAAGGGTGTGTTGGGGCATTGGACACAGCGAAGAAAAGCACAGGAAGTGGTGGCAAAAAGAAAGGGCCTGCACAATTGAGAGTTTACAATCTTGGAAATACCTCACCGGTTCCTGTAGGGAATTTGGTGTCAATTTTGGAAGGGTTATTGAGAACAAAAGCAAAGAAACATGTGATCAAGATGCCCAGAAATGGGGATGTGCCTTATACGCATGCTAATGTGACTTTAGCATTCAAGGATTTTGGGTACAAACCGACCACAGATTTGGCTACTGGGCTGAGAAAATTTGTCAAGTGGTATGTTAATTATTATGGGATTCATACAAGGGTAAAGAAGGATAGCAACAACAAGAGTGAGCATCCCGAGGAGTCAACTTAAGATCCATCAATGATCATCACCATCATCATCACCACATGGTTTGGTCTTTTTTTTTCTTTTTTTGCCTTTTTTGTGAATTAAACGAACTCTACTTTTTTTTTTTTTGGGTCAAGTTATTGCTGTGGTCCTTTGATGCATTAGAACAAATTGTGGCAGCTGTTGTTGATGTTGTAGCATATAGAAATAGATTTGATACAGAAGAAGATAAAATGTGTTTGAAGAGAAGAAAAAGAAGGCAGGAGGGAAAGGTGTAGATCTGTGAAGTTGGGGGATGTAATAATTTGGTATGAGAATACTGCTCAAAAGGGGATGCAGATCTCAGCCATTAGATTCATATTAAAGAAATTTGTGATTGAAAAACAATGATCACATTAAGATTCTTTTTTTTTTTTTTTTCAATTATTTTGATGCTTTATTGCCTTGCATTTTCTTTGTTTGGTCATAATTAGCTTTGTTCCTTTGTGGATGCAAGTGGAGTAAATTATAAATTAGTCCCTTAAGTTTTGCAAATTAAATTAAATAGTTCTTTTAGTTTTTAAAACTAATTTTTTCTTATGTTTTTAAAATCTATTTGCAACTTAATCCGTTATTTTTTAATTTTTTTATGAATAAATTAAAGAAGCAGGACAAGAAAATAATACATTTTTTTAAAACAAAAAATATATAAATTAACCATGATAAGCAATCGTACTTATTGATTAGTTTTTAAATCAAGAGGGACTATTTAATTTAATTTTTTCAAAACTAAATTGTCTAATTTATAATTTACTCGGCACAAGCGGATGACATCTTATCTATATGTATGTTTGTTTTTTCTTTTCAAGATGCCTTTTTCCTGCCTACAAGCATCATGAATAGCCAGCGGGCAAGGTTGTCCCTTTCATGTTTATCTCTAAACCAATCCCTTAATTGTCAAATTCGGACACAAATATATATATATATATATATATATATATATATATATATATATATATATATATATATATATATATATAGGTTAAATTGAACTATTATAATTTCAGGTGCTATACTAAATAAAGTTACATGCCAAGATGGAGTAAAAAAAATTAGAATTCAACTTTTGAACAGAATAAAAATGCCAAAATGTTTCCACTAACGTTTGAATATATTGTGGTTTAATAAATTTTAAGAATTTATCTTTTTTTTTACCTAGTTTATTCAAGATCCGATCAAAGAGGAATTTAGTCTCAATAGGTAAAAGTTTGTTCGAAGATATGCTTACCTTTATGATAAAAAAATAATAATAATAAAAAAATCTAGAGCATACATGCTAGTCAAAATTAATCCTGCACCTTTACTTCATAATTAGAAGACTGAAAATGAATCCATGGCAGCTAACACAATCATTAATCATGTAACGAAAAATGGAAAGCGGTGGAAATTTAGTAGGTGCAATTATTCCATATATAGAGAAGATAAGAGAAGATAAGTAATCAATTTATCCTTTTGTCCCTTTCATTTCACGTTTATCTATAATTCAATTCCTTAATTGTCAAATTAGGTTACAAAGATAAGTGCATATAAATTGGTTAAATCTATTTAATCCTGTATTATTATAAACTTTATAATTACTTCGGATATCGTACTAATGGAAAATTTTATAATGCGCAAGAAGTAACTAATAGCATGTACGGTAGTTACTCCTGGATCCACTTTGAGAGAGAGATAGACACATAAAAAAAGAGAGAAATTACATCCATACCCACTAAAAGTGATAAGAAGATTTCCACGTCCGCTCAAATTTTTTTATTTTCTCTCTCCTATTTTTCTCTCGTCTCTTTTTGTGTGTCTATCTCTCTCCTCAAAGTGGACTCGAGGAATAACTACCGTACATGTCACTAGTTACTCCTTATGTATTATAAAATTTCTCCTAGATTCATTTGGAGAAGAGTTATAGGAAAAAAAAAAAAGATAAACTCAATTTTTTTTTTAATTCTTTCTCTTATTTCCTTCACCTTTTTGTTTTTATCTCTTTCATATAAAGTAAGTATTATTAATTATTATTAAAATGAGATGAAATTTTTGAAAGAATTTTTTATAATAACCAATGAATAATTAGTATAAGTTATTCTATAAAAAAAGATAAACACAAACTAAGAAAGAAAAAATTTAAAAAAAAATTGAGCTAATATGAAATTTTTTTTATTGTTTTTAATGAGTTCAAACGTGATTTTCTTTTTTTCTTTTTAATGTGTCAATACCCATAGACTAAATGTAATTTTTTTTTTTTTATCAAATAGCAAGTCCACGAGAAAATCCTGAAATATTTTAAGGCAAAAAATTACAGCTACATAAATGATCAAACCATAGGGCTTTCATTAAGAAAAACATGAAAATGGAGATGTGGTTCTTCCGTGGAGAATCCTACAACTTTCTTTTTGTAGTTTTTACGGAAACAGAAGGTAGTGAAGTTGTCATATCATAGGAGGCAATTTCTGATAAAAAATAATGCAGAAAAATACTCTTAATGTCTTGTCATCGTTACCATTCACTATCACTGTCTTTTCGCTGTTTTGCAAAAACTTATGCATGAAGAAGTCACTAGAAGAGCTACAGAGCATGATGATGGCTGGGTTTTATTTGGCGTTAAGTGTGATATTGAAGCTTTAACAAGATGTAATCATCAAAATTACTCGTGCTGAAGGCAAAGAAATTCACATTATAATTAATTGTTGGGGCATGCTGAATACACTTGTACACGTCGAAATATAAATAAATTATTATTGCTTTTATTTAGATGATGTTTCAAAATAATAATTACAAAGTTTATTTAGAAAAGAAATTCAATCTTCATTAACATAAGATAATAAAAAATATTGTTTATTACTGATAAATTGTTGTTCTAGTAGTAAGCAAACTGGTCTCTCGAACGAATTTTTTTTATCATTATTCAAGATTTGAATCTTAAAATCACATTTATTAAAAGGGGTTAAACTTTATTATCTACGAGCTTAATATAATTAGTTATATCTCTAATGTGATATGAAAATACCTATATATATATATATATATAGAGAGAGAGAGAGAGAGAGAGAGAGAGAGAGAGAGAGAGATGACAAGTAAAAGAAAAAAAAATCACAAAGCTAGGTTAGGGTCTAAACAATTCAAATCCAAATCCAAATATAAGGATAAATAGATCAGCATGTTTTTATATAATAATTTGAATGTTTAATATGTCTTGACATTTTTTATTATAGCTATTATGTTTTGTAGTAATTTTTAAGTCTTTAATCTGTCTTTCAAATCAATTTTTTCGATAATGAATAAATTTTTTATTGAAATAAAATAATTAAATCATATAATCTGCATGTTCTATTTTTTAAATCTTTAAATTTTTTTTGGTTAAAAAATTTACTCATTGTTGTAAAATAAATTGAAAACTTAAAATTATTTAAAAATATAATAGATATAATTAAAAAAATTAAAGATAAATTAGAGATTCAAATTAATGTATAATCACAATTATTTACTCCAAATATAAACTTGAAAAACCTATATAAGAATCAGAATTGATTGAAACGATTATAGGGAAATGACTATTTTGCATTTTTCTTCTCGTGACGGTCATAAAAAGAACACATTGACTTGAAATGTTAACAAGATCTAATGTAACGTTTAACTTGATAAGCCTAGTATCCATCTGTCTAAACCAAAACGCACCTGCATGATCTGTCTTCTCCTAAAATTAATATTTCTAGGAGACTTTAGCTAGCCCTGTCAGATGTCAGAGCATCAGGTCAATGGGAAACTTCACTTGAACTTATGTCGGAACGAAGGTTTAAACATGATTAAGAACAAACTTTTAGGATTACCAAAGGGGATTGAAATTTTCTGGCATTCGGACAAATATTTCAGCTATCGAGTCATTAAATCATTTCGCAAACTCTAGAAAGTGACTCAGGATTTGCAAGTATTCTGACATAGCTTTTAATGGTCAACGTAACCTGCCCTCTTCTGCATGCAAGAAACATGGTGGTCTCTACTCTCTAGCTTGGAAATTTCCACTCTGCGCCATATGATACAGCTACGGTAATCGAAAAATGTAAGAAAAACACATCGACAGACTATTTAATTGTATTGTTTTTAATATTTAAAAACAATGAGATATCTTCGTATCACATTTTGCTTTCTAATTCTGAAATTAATCCAACTCAAAACACATTTGGTTGGTTATCAATTATTAAATTATTTATGTAGCGAAAACTTACAAAAAAGAGTTAATATCATTGATTTGAAACTCATGCAAATTTCAGATTTCCGTTTACTATAATATATTAAATTACATACAAATATAAAAAAATAGATTTTTAATTCTGTTGATTTAAAAAATATCAGAAATTTTCACTCTGCGCCATATGATACAGCTATGATAATCGAAAAATATAAGAAAAACACATCAACAGACAATTTAATTTTAATTTTTTTAATATTTTAAACAATGAGATATCTTGGTATCAGATTTTGCTTTCTAGTTCTGAAATTAATCCAACTCAAAACACATTTGATTCGTTATCAATTATTAAATTGTTTATGTAGCAAAAACTTACAAAAAAAAAAAAAAAGTTAAACACCATTGATTTGAAACTCACAAACAAATTTCAGATGTGAGTTTACTATAATTTATTAAATGACACATAAATATTAGAAAATAGATTTCAAATTTAGTTTATTCAAAACATATTAGAAATTGGGATAAAATTGATCGAGATGCTTTCATAAAGTTTTATTAATCAAAGAAAACTGTATTTTTTTGCCTCCAAGTCATACATAAATAGAAAATTCAGCTCAAAACCCTTAACCAACTCAAAAAAGAAACAAATATAAAAATCCCAAAATAAAGAAAAAAATCTCGAAAAACAGTAAAAATTAATTTTGAGGGCCTAAATGATTTTTTTTTTTTTTTTTTTGCCAAAATCACCTCTACATCGTAGCAAAACATGGGTTTGATTCGTTAAACCGTTTGACATTAAATTAGGTTCAAGAAGCCTCAAAATTGAACCGACATTTTTTTTTAGTTTTTACCACACTCATATTGCTGTATAAATTTCAAAACCTATTGATCTGTATTAATTTTAAAAAAGAATTAAATTTTGGTCTTTATCCAATCAATTTTTTTAAAAAATTATTGGACCACGTTCCTTGATAGTCTTAATTAATAGTAATAGACTAATCTAACTATTAAATTTAATTGTTGCATTCGAATGATATACATATGTTTGGTAAAATAAGATTTGAATCCTCGTGAATAATCACAAGGAGTCTTGTTCTTTCCTTGAATTTCCATCAAATCCTTCTAAATTTTAAATTGAATTTTTTAATATATATATGAATCTCAAATCTGAGCTGATTGTCCAGCCAGGAAGAATTTCACCAACCGGTGAGAAAGCATTTAAAAAAGCAGGCAAAAGTCAGCACTCAGTTTCAGTAGAAAGCAAACTAATGAATGCAAGTTGTTCAAATCTTGCCAAGTGGAGATTATATTACAAAAACCGCGTTGAAGAAACTGTAAGCAGAGAAAAGGGAGGAATAAATCCAAACATGCTAGCCAGGATTTGCATGCATATCATCTCGAAGATTTTGAGAAACGCGAAGAATCTACGACTAGTCGTCAAATGCTAGCTAGCTAGGAATGTGTTTGTCTCTTATAATCGATCCGTGTGGTATATGCGACCTTATAAGCAAGCTTTTTGTGTCAAGGAAATTATATGGGAATTTGGATAAAAATATTGTTATGTCGGCTATAGTTTTTTCTACCAATTGTCAGCAATCGGTCAAGTTAAGTAGGCATGCCGATATTCTTTAATTTCCATCTTGTTAATCAGAATTCGATTTCAAAAATCGTGGATGGATTGCTTCTGATCACAATTGAGAGTTTAATTTAATCTTGATATTTGCAAATTACTTTAATTTAAGTGTTATTGGACTTCCTCAGCCTCACAACTAGCTTAATAAATAAGATTTTGTTAAATTCTAACCAATTCACCTGCCATTACTTCATCAAGATCATAAATATGAGCAATTCCGTTGCCCACTTTAAGTATGGTCCCAGTATTTACAATTTTTGTTACTCTATCATATTACTCAACACGTTCATAGATAATATTATTAATCTCGTGGGCTCAAAAAGTTACCATGAGTATTTCTTAATTATTATTTTTCTTTGAAAAAGAATAATGCCTATAGTAGAAAGACTTAAAACTTTTCTCATTACCAATATAGAGTAACACAATAATTTTTATTTTTATGCATCAAGAGCTCTAAATTGATTATTTTTCATGAAAATGCAAAATAAATTGTTTAATTTGCACTCTGCTGCCAGATTGTAAATTGCATTGCTATTAGCAAATATCATATTTGGAAAATATAAATATAAAGAAGCTGATGCCTTATGCTTAAGAAAAATAAAATGAAATTAACTGCAAAAAGGTTAATCCAATTTCAAGCCCTTGGAGGGGAAAAATTGAAAAAATGGCACTTGACTTGATCTCCAAACTAGGTAGAGCTAGCCTTTTTTTTTTTTTTATTTTTTTTGATCATCTAAGGTATACTATGCCTAAAAAATGAGACTAATCATTCGATATTCTATTAAACGCATAACGTAGACAGCTTATCCAAAGAGTTTTTTAATATACATAAGAATTTGAATTCAAAACTACTTATTTAAACTACTAAGAGCATCTTCATTGCTCTCTTTATATTAAGATTTTTCTTTATAATAAAAAAGTTTGACTCAAATTCCATCTCCAACGCTCTCTTTATCACAATTTCTATATTTAAAAGTCGAGATACAGTAGTCTCTTTAGCTCTCCAATACTACAGCATTCTAAAGGATTCTTTATCTTATATTTTATTAATGAAAATTACTATTTCTTATGCCACTCAGCCTTTTCATCAATCAAATGGAGGGAGATTAACGAAAAGAAAAAAAATTCAAAATTAAATGTTTTATGAATTTTGTCAAAATAAAGAATTAAAGTAAGAGAATAACTTTGGAGATGGACATTGATCTTTAATTTATATAATTGATGATGCTCTTTATTTATATTAAAAATACTAACTAAAAATAAATAATATCATTGTAGATGCTCTAAAATTCTAATCTTCCTTTTCACCTGATGCAAATGTCCCCCAAATGGTTGGATCTTCAATAGACGTCTAAGATGAAAGGACGACAGAAGTTAAATATACAGGAGATGTCATTATCTCAGGCTATAACTGTGTAAAGATTGATTAACAAAGATCAGACGGTAGGACTTGGAAGAAGTGACAAAAAAGTAGACAGTGGACTGATGACAGGAAAGAAAGAAAACGAAAGAGATAAACATGAGAAAGTGGTTTTGCTTTGCTCTGTGCTATAATGTAACCAATATATAATTAATTCAATAATGAGTATTGTAAAGCAAGATAAAGACTTGGCAACTACCTTACTCGCACAACCACGCATTACACCTCTATTATTGTTTTATCCTTTTGCATGTTGTTATCCTATAGCTTCAGACCCCCTTTTGCGTTGTCTGGCTTAATGACCAATCGTGGCTGCTCACCGACACTTCCATGAATCATGGGCTGGGGAGAACTCGTACAATTGAGAATTATTTTTAATTAAGATTTTAAGTTTTTTTTCTATCTAATTTAAGAATTTTATTCTTATATTATTATTATTATTTCAGACTTTAATATATTATTTAAGTATACATGACAAGTTATAATTAATGATAACTTGTAACGTGTCATGGTGGGTCAAATTATATGATTGAATTGATGATGTGATAATCAATCATTGGTTAAAATGCACACGTGACAATCATCATTGATTACGATCTAAAATAATAATATAAAAATAAAACTCTTACCGAATAGAAAAACATTTAAAATCGTAATTAAAAAAATCATAATTGTATGAGATCTTAATATGCATAAAATCCTATTTTATTTCAAGGCTCTAATTTCTATTATTGCATGCATATTCAGCTTATATATGTTTTGCTATACTTAATCCATAAAATTAGTGCAAATGGTTAGAAGAAGAGAAGGCCATAAGCTCAAGTCCAACCATTGTATGTATACATATATATAATTTATAGAGGTTTTGATTTTTATAGAGCAATATTATATATAGGTATAAGATTTCTTTCTGAAAAAATAATTATTCTCTAATATATACTTAGAGACACCGCTAATTAAATTTTTTTTGTTAAGCTATAGTAACTTGGTTAATTATAATTGACTCACTATTTTTTTCTCGTTTTGTTCATCAACCTAGAGGGTTCATCAAAAACAAAGATGGGGTTTAGCTATCTTTTGACAAAGCAAAAGCATGAATTAATGTTCACTCAGATCCAGTTCATTAGTCTCTGCTATTTTGGGGCCGTGGGCTTCGAAAGCCACTTTCTTGTAAGTTTTAGCACTCGCAGCTCACAGGGCAACCCAAAAACTTGAATAAAAAAAGAATTTGGTACTGATGATTAAGGATAAATGGATCGATTTTTTTTAATTTTAATTTATTTGAAATTAAGTCTTTAAAATTCAAAATTAATTTTAAAAATCCCTGAATTTTAAACATCTTGAAATTAAATCCATCCATTATTTTTCTTAAAAAATAACAGATAAGCATAGCTGACTTTTCTACTAAAAAAAAGAAGTAATAATCAGCATCTTCATTCACTTTAATTTCTTTCTTTATTACTTCATCCTTAATTCTCTTCTTTCTTGCTTTCTCTCAAATAATTTTTTTTATTGATTTATGGTGGTGCTAAACTCAATTAAGTATGTGAAGCACAAAAAAATATTCCCATCCTAAGCCGTCTTTATCGAAAAGTTTTAATGAACTTATAGAAACGTCCATGAAAAAAATTATTTGCTATTCGAAAAATCACTATTCATCATTATTCCAAAAGAATTTCATTTAATTTCTTCAACATAACAAGTTACAATTTACTTACTTTCTTTTTTTTTTTTTTTTTTTTAACGCAGATATCCGAGTCGACTTACACACACCTCGACTAATACCGCAAGTCCCGAAGTTAACGACCATGTAAGCCTCCAAGTGGCCATCAAGAGGAGCAATCGGGACTCGAACCCGAGACCATAGAAAGAGCAAACCCCTTGATACCAAATCCTTACCACTACACTACCCCTGGTGGTTAATTACAATTTACTTCTTAATTTTTGGCATCGTTGTGCCACATATAATTATGGTTATTTTTCTATTTAATTTCTATCACCAATGACATTACATTCTTTCGTAATATATATATATATATAATAAGAGGGTAAAAAAAAAAAAAAAACAAAAACACGAAGCCAAACTCACTTTCTAGCGTCCTAAGATGCAGGAGCGATTGTAATCGCTACTGCTACAAAGCATAAAACTATACATAAAAAAGCCATCATAGACAAACCAAGAGAGTAACATACAAATTAATTAACGTAGCCACAGGGTTACAAAATCTCTGTAAACCTCTCATGCCCCATTCTTGAGAGAAACAAAGCTCGGGGAAACAGCAATCATTGGATCGGAAACCTTAAATACTTCTCTATTACTTCGATTTCTCGGGTCACACAAACGCAAAGACTGATCACCGCAAAGTAGCACGATCTTTCCATCACTCAAAACCTTTATAAGTTCAAATCTGCGATAACGTTTCCACCAGTCTTCATGTAGACTTCCGATATTAAGAATTCTAATCCAAGACTCTTTGACACCATATTCCTTCATCAGCCAAAATTCGACAGGAGGAACCAAACCATCAGAACTCCTGGCACATATATAGAGAGAATCTTCAAGCACACCAATGTTAGACCAATAATAACCTTTCGGTTCTTCCCTGTTCTTGTTTGGTGAAAATATTGATGGTGGTGGAAGGCATGAGAATTTCTCATTTCGAACGTCAAGACAATAAATCAATTCAGAAGCAGGACCTTCTATACTCCAATGAATTATACCATCGAAATTCGCACTAAAAAAACTCGCACTAAGTTCATAGCAAACCTTGCCAATATTTCTCCAATTTGTATCAGTGCCGACTGTGGTTATTTCTGCTTCCCATAAAGCTTCTGTAGACTTTGGTTTATAAATTCGAACCACTTTGTATTTTTTATCTGCAAACCCTAACCCACATATAACAGTACTAGAAGATGCCCGTGTTACTTCAGGGAGTAACACGTACTCACAGAGCATTGGATTCCACAAGCTAACAGGATTACCAGATTCTTCGTCACATAAACATAGAAATCCATTACACAAACTTTTCACCACTATAGCAGTATGTTTCTCAGTTAGCATTAAAGGAAGGCCACCCTTTCCAGCTACGCCAATATTGATTTTACGAGCAGGACAATCTTCGGAATCCCAATCAACCATGCGTACAGTATCCGAACTTAGATGAACAATAGGGATTAGAAGCTGTGTCGGGCCATTGGCAGCATAACTTACAGGAAAATGAGGATCTAAAAAATAGTCGTTCCATAATTTGCACACAGACCTGGATTTGACGAGAGTCTTGAGGGGAAGTCGAGATAATATTTCAATCATAATACAGGATGGCAGGTCGTGTATGCTTGTGCTCCCTTCTTCATCTGATTTCACTATCATATGTTGCTTTGTTTCTTGACTAGCCTCCATTATTTGCTAATGATTCAAATTAAAAAAAAAAAAAAAAAAACAGAGAGAATCTTTGTAAGAAAAAAGAAGAAGAAGAAGAAGAAAACACTACGTATGATGGGTGATCGATGTGGGTGATTTAGGAGCGTGGAGGATATATATTAGGAGGTACGGTGTCGGGTTAGTTGTTTTCTTGATGGATTGGTAATCCTACCTAGTTTAGGACAAGTATAAAAACTACACAAAAAGAACTCAATAAAGATGAATATGCTAGGGTTTCTAAAATTTGTCAAACCTGAGGAAATTCACAGAAGAGAAACCAGCAATGACCATCAAAAACAGCTACAAAGGAGAACCCTTCAAGGCCATCTGATCGAATTACGATATCATCCTCCATCTCTTCACGTGGGCCTTGCAAGCTTGTAGAACCCCACCGGATTCCGGGTCCATCAGTTAAAGAAGATGGGGCATCTGATTGCTATTGCAGAACATTGGCTTGTAGGCCTAGCGGCGAAAGGGTAGTTGTTTCCTGGATGAATTGAAGATGCGCGAGGGGCAGAGAGGTTTTCTAATTTTGTTGAACTGCAGATGCGTGACTAAGAGAGAGAGAGAGAGAGAGAGAAGCATTGTATATTTTAATGAGTTGACGATGGTTTGGGTCTTCTGCCGTGGCAATATCTCATTGGTTGTTTAGATTACATTTATCTTTTTATTTACAGTAACATTAAATTTTTTTTGTTTATGTTTATGTTAATAATATTGACGCGTATATTACACAACTAAGTGATGACAATAACAGGCGGCTGCAATGGTGCAGTCGTGCCAATGGATGTTGGGGAGTTGCAGTGGAGTGGTGGCAATGGTAGTCGTGGAGTTGTGGCAATGGTAAAGGTTATGGCAGTCTGGTGGCGGGATGATGGTAAAAGATGTTGTCGGTGAGCAGTGAAGGTTATGGTGGCGGCAGCGCGTGACAGTTGAAATAGTTAAATGATACAAACGAGTTGATTGCAGTTGATTAAATATTTTTATAAAACTTCAAGAACTAACATGTTACTAGTAACAATAACAATCCATGTATGAAAACAGAACTCTTGCCATCAATTGAAAAAATACACGATCGTTTATAAAGCTCGAATTCAACTACTTCAATTCTAAAAACTTCGATCACCGGAGTAACTGTTATTGTAAGGTTTCCTTTCAGTCGCATGGCTTACACGAATGTTTCTTCCTCCCAAATCCTGCAACATCCGCGTAGAACGGTTAACATATAATTCAGGAATCAGAGCACTAAACTCCCTCAAAAACATTCTATTTCTCACCTGGCCATCCATTGCTGACAGTGCTTCATCAGCAGATTCATTGCTTTCGAAACTAACAAACCCGAATCCACGAGACCTCCCAGTATCTCTATCAGTGATAACCCTTGCTGTAAAACAGAACCAGATTGTGAATCACTACACTGACAACCTCGAGCACCAGCCAAATAAAAACTATGGATGATAACACAGGGCATATAATTATACAAATTCTATCGTTAAAACCTTGAAATCGAACAGAAATGACACTCCCTTCATTCTGAAACTATCATAGCAGAATGTAGGGAAAATTTTGACATGGCACATAACAGACTATTTTTTAAACCTATAAATGATAACACTGGGCATAGAATTATACAAATTCTATCGTTAAAACCTTGAAATCGAACAGAAATGGCACTCCCATCATTCTGAAACTATCATAGTAGAATGTAGGGAAAATTTTGACATAGGATATAACAGACTGTTTTTTAAACCTAAATATTGAACTGGACCACTATCATTCACATGTAAATATACATTAGCACCAAATTCACATCGTAGAACTAAAGCAAAAAACAAACAGGTTACAGGACAATTCCAAGAGGCCATTGATACTTGTCACTCCCAAGTGTGGATGAGCAGCAGTAAACAATTTCCAATTTGCCAATGAGGTTCTGGATAAAGCAGACAATGAAAATAAAACCAAATGACAAAGCATAGTTTCAAAGATACATCAACTGAAACCATAACCCACAAGTCTCAGTCATCATTTTAAAACCAGTTACTCAGGAAAAAAATAAAACTGCCTTCATGTTTGTTTCAACAATATAATAAAAGCACCCCTTGCTAAATAACTGATTCAACTACAGATGCAAACACTTACCTTCAGTCACTTCCCCAAAGTTAGAAAACGCATCCTTGAGAGTTTGGTCATCAGTGGACCATGAAAGCCCTTAAACACAGACAGGATTAACAACAACAGAGCATTAGTACAAAAAATACATAAACTTGTATCATTCAAACAGCTTTAATCCATCAATACCTCCAATGAAAAGCTTTGATGAAGACATGCAGCGAATGGAGTTCAGCAGGGATGCCATTGGAACTTGCCCATTCTGGGAAATTGACTGCCTCACTAGGCTCCCAAGCTTGTTAACGAAAGCCATTTGGACTAGACCAAAACCACATCATTGCATCAGTTTTGAACGTTAACAATATTCAACAAAAACAAACTTAAAACACAGTGTAACAATTCACAATCATGAGAGATCCCAAAGCAACATTCAAAATGAAGTCTAAAATCAAACATGTGATCAAATTAAAATGTTTATTTGATAAAATCAAACAGCTAACTTTGATTAAAAAAACCAAACTTGAAACATTGACACAACGAAACAGACTATTAAGAACAAAAAAAAAAAAAAAAACTCAGAAAACCAAAGTAGAGAATCCAAACTCCAAACTCTTAGGAGTTTATTTGACCCTACACACTACACATGCAGCCCAAGTGAAGGTAAAAATACAAAACACTCGAATGGGTATAATAATAACCAACAAAATCAATAAAGAAACATTCAAACAGACAAAAAATCAAACAAACAAGACAAAGGACCAATCATGAGGAAAACAAAACATAACCCAAAACCAAAAACACAAACAAAGTCTTAAAAAAAAAAAAAAAACAATAAACCCACTTTAGTACACAACAAAACAAGAACTGAGACTAAAACAGAAAGAACAAAACTTTACTTAAGAAACCAAAATAGGATCCATAAAACATCATAAAAAAACACAACTTTTTACATCAAAGACTCAGATACAAGAAAACATAAGAGTCCATTCAAGAAACGAAGAGAAAGAGAAACAAAAATAGCACAACCATGAATTGGGTTTTAAGCATAGAGGGTAAAGATTATACCTTTGAAGAAGAAACGAGGCGGAAGGGTTTTAGTTCTGTGAGAGTTAAACAAAGAAGCGGCTAGGGTTTAGGAGAGATATGGAGTAACGAGCGGCACTTGAACAATATCTTGCTGAATTTATAGTGTTGAGAATCTGAAATATTACTGTTTTGAGTTGTACCTTGTGCACATTTCATTTCAGGATTAATCGCATAAATTTTTTTCTATTCTTTTGATTTTAGTAATGGAGTTCCTGCATTTTTTTTTTATTCAATTCCTTTCTGTATTTTTTTTAATATGACTTTTTGATTATTTTTTGATTAATTTTTCAATTGAAACTAACATGTGAAAAATAAAAAAAATCTAGACGGAACATGACAGGTCAAAATTAATTATCTACGTAAGTAGAATAAAAAAACAATATATGTATATATATCAAAACTTTATACTATTTAAAAAATAATTAATTAATGATATATAGTAATTATTTTATAAATACACTTCATACATACAAAAAGATAGAAAAAAAAAAAGAACTAAATTTTTTTTTAAAATTTCTCTATGCAAATGGGGGAAACAATCACATTTTGAGGCAAAAAGGTTTTTCCTTCAAAAATTTATTGTTTTTAACTTTGTAACCCAACATTTCAAAGTACAATTAAAGTAAAAAAAAATCTATTGCAATTTCTAGAAACAAACTTCTTAGGATGTTTTCCTCATTTTCCGTGTCCTGCTGCCAAAACCCTTTAGGTCTTTTTTTTTTTTTCCCTAAAACTAAAGCATATGGTTCCTAGAAAATTTAACATGAAAAAAAATTCAATAATTAAATATTTTGGGAGTAACATGAAATAAAACTGCATATTTCGAGTTATGAATATTTCATTCATTCAAAGCAGTGGCTTCCTATTGACAGTGAAACATAAATTGCTCAGCCCCAACACCACCACTGGCAACAGATCTAGAGCAGAGGCAGAAATGCTGGGTATAAAAAATGAAGTGTGGGTGTCCTCTCCGTCTGCCTCCATTTGCTTGGCCTCCTTTTCAAATACACCCATAAAATCAGTTATAGGTACATTCAAAATTCCCTTTGCATCATCACTTATGATCAACATGCCTCCATAACTGTTGTTGTAAGGTTTCCATTCATTAGCAACCTCCACTCTGACAAGAAACACTAGCTACAGAAGCAAGGCCATTTACTGCATCAGCACCAGCTTATAAAGCTGGAATTCAACTACTTCAATTCTCAAAACCTTTGATCCAGGGAGTAACTGTTATTGTAAGGTTTCCATTCATTTGCATGGCTCACACGAATGTATCTTCCTCCCAAATCCTGCAACATCCAAGTGGAACAGTCAACATATAATTCAGGAATCAGGGCACTAAACTCCCGCAAAAACATTCTGTTTCTGACCTGGCCATCCATTGCTGACAGTGCTTCGTCAGCAGATTCATTGCTTTCAAATGAAACATACCCAAATCCTCGAGACCTCCCGGTATGTCTATCAGCGACAACCCTTGCTGTAAAACAGAACCAGATTGCGAATCACTACGCTGACAACACCAAGCACCAGCCAAATAAAAAAGGGACCACAATATAAAAAAGGGCCATTGGATTGACAGAGAATCTCACAAATTATATCATTAGAACCTCGAAATCTAACTGAAATGACACTCCCATCTTTCTGAAACTATCATTGCAGAATCCAGGGAAAATTTTGACATGGCATATAATAGACTACTTTTTGAACCTAAATGTTGAACTGGAGGACAATTCCAAGAAGCCATTGATGCTTGTCACTCTTAAGTTTGGATGAGCAGTAGTAAACAGTTACCCATGAGGTTCCAGATAAAGCATACGATGTTTGAAATATCCAAACTAAATTGAATGATAATAAATCCAAATGAAAAAGCATAGTTTCAAAGATACATCAGCTGAAAACATAATCACCAGTCGCAGTCAACATTTTAAAGCCAGTTACCCAGAAAAAAATAATGTTCATGTTTGTTTCAACAATTTAATAAAAGCACCGCTTGCTATATAACTGATTCAACAACAAATGCAAAAACTTACCATCAGTCACTTCCCCAAAGTTAGAAAATGCATCCCTGAGAGTTTGGTCATCAATTGACCATGCAAGCCCTAAAACAGACAGACAAGATTGACAACAGCAGAGCGTTAATACAAAACACAAATGAACTTGTAGCATTCAAACAGCATTAATTCATCAATACCTCCAACGAAAAGCCTTGATGAAGACATGCAGCGAATCGTGTTCACCATGGATGCCATAGGAACTTGCCCATTCTGGGAAATGGACTGCCTCACTAGACTCCCAAGCTTGTTAAGGAAAGCCATTTGGACTAAACCAAAACCACATCATTGCATCAGTTTCGAACGTTAACAATATTCAACCAAACAAAATTAAAACATAGTGTAAACAATTCACAATCACGAGATCCCAAAGCAACATTCAAAATGGTGTCTTAAAACAAACATGAAGTTAAATTTCAAATTTTGTATGATAAAATCAAATAATTAACTTTGATTTAAAAACTCAAACTTGAAACATTAACATAACAAAACAGACTATTCAGAACACAAAAATCACTCAGAAAACCAAAGTAGAGAATCCAAACTCTTTAAGAGATTATTTGACCCTCCACTCACGACACACACACTCCATAAGCAGCACAGGTAAAAAAAATATAAAACACTCAAAAGGGTATCATTAATAACCTACAAAATCAATAACAAACCTTTAAACAGACGATAATCTAACAAACAAGACAAATGACCAATCATGTGGGAAGCAAAAAATTACCCAAAACCCAAAAAACACAAACAAAATATCAAAACAAAACCCTTTTAAGAATACAACCCAATAAACCCACTTTAGTACACAGTAAAACAAGATACGAGACTAAAACAAAAAGAGCAAAACTTTACTTAAAGAAACCAAAATATGATCCATAAAAACATAAATTTTTATGTAAAACACCAACATCGAACAGTCAAATACAAGAAAACATAAAGTCCATCCAAGAAACGAAGACAAGGGGAAACAAAAAGATTATATCCCATGAATTGGGGTTAAAGCACAGAGGGTAAAGAGTATACCTTCGAAGAAGAAATGAGGGAGAGGGTTTTAGTTTTGGGAGAGAGTGAAAGGAAGGAAACGGCTAGGGTTCAAGAGAAAAATCGAGTGATGAGTGGCACTTGAATAATATCTTGTTGACTTTCTAGTTTTGAGAATTTGATGTCGTGCCGCCTTGGGTTGTACCTGTGGATTTTTGTTGCGTCAAAGGTGGCACTTGAATAATTTTTAGGTTTAACTAGATTGACACCCGCGTTATGTCGTGATTTTTTTTTTTTTTTGTTAAATAGAAGTCTGATTGTTACATAATAAATAATAATGCATGGCAGACATGTCTTAAAATGCAGTTATTTATTGATTGTCTGCTTATATGATTTTGAAACTGTGTAATTGGCGATGGCGACAGAGGACTATCGAAGCTTATAATTGAAGGTTTACACGAACCATGTTTTTATTTATGCCTATAGACCGTTTATTGTAACTTTGAACATAAATTTTTGAAACCAAAATACCAAAAAGCATGGAATCCACCTTATAATTGGAGGTTTATACGAAACATGTTCTTATTTATGCCTATAAACTACTTCTATTGTAACTTTGAACATAAATTTTTGAAACCAAAATATCAAAAAGCGTGGAATCCACCTTAGAAAGAAAAGAAATTAAGAAAAAATGTTTAGTTCAAGATATATATATATATATATATATATATATATATATATATATATATATAAATCACCATTGATTAGTACTCCACAATAAACCCAACTAATCCAACCAAAACTTGACATCCAACACTAACATTCATCAATTAAATAAACCATTTGGAAAGCATTTGCCAACCCCAAGATTTTATTTTGATGGCTTGTAGCTTTAGAAGGGAACACAGAAAGAGAAACCAAACAATTCCTCCCGAACGATCCCTTCTTCCACAGCTAGCCATTCGTGTAACCCAAAAAAAAAAAAAAAAAAAACTTACAAACTATGTTCATGGAATCATGAGATGACATCGCTGCACATGAAACTCAGGAGACACAGCACTTAAAAGTATCAATTTGTTAAGATTAAAGCTGTAAAATATTACCCGTCCAATATGAAAGAAATAATGGGAATATAATCACTAATTATAGGAATATTTCTAGTGCCAAGGATGACTCAGGCACCTCGCAAAACCGAATTATATATACATGAAAAAAAGAAAAGAAAAAGAAACCAATGCTAACCATGATTGATGCCAAAGGTTCATTCTTTCAAATAGGCTTCACTAAAAAGGCAAGTGCATTATCTGGAAAACACTTACAAACTATATATATATTCATGGAATTGTGAGATGATATCAATGTATAGGAAACTCAGCAAGCACAACACTTAAAAGCATCAATTTGTTAAGATCAAAGTTGTAAAATAGTAATCCCATATGGAAGAAGGGAAAAGTGGAAATGTACTAACTAATTGCATGAATATTTCTACAAGTTTTATGGCCCATAATGTTGTTCAAAAGGCAAATTCCTAATAACTAAGGCATGGCTATTTTAGCTAGAACCAGATCGGTGTGATTGTTCAAATCTTCCAAGAGCTTCCAAGCTTGCACACCATTTCTATAGTCGTAACTAAAAACCAAAAAAAAAAAAAAAAAAAGGTTCTAGCCAAGGTACATGGTTCTAAATGCTAGAGTATACAATAATTGAATGGGCGAACCATAGCCCCATTTAAGAATAGCATAGAAGGAGAAGAGAGGAATCTGAAACATATGTTCCTATCGCCACTTGTAAACCTAAGCAAAATCTTTTATCAGATTTTCTTCAAACTTTGAGAAAAAAGTTTTTTTTTTTAATCACAATGTTGACTGTCTAAGAAAATGTCAATCTTTCTATTTTATTTAAGATTTTTATCTATTTCATTTTTTAAAAGAGAGCATTATTATCTCAGATAGAGATTTTGATATTAAAAAAGAGAGCATTATTACCTTGGCAATGAAAAAAGTTTGCATATATTATTTTCAGTTTCACAGTCTATAGACCTCGCACATCTTGAATACTTAAAAAATGTTATATAAGAACTTTCCAAAATTCATTACCCTTATAATAAATGTTTTAAATACGCAAATGATAGCAGTGTATTTTTACATAATTGAAGGCTGACAATCATATAGATAGTTTTTCAACATTAAAATTTTAAAAGGGAAAAAAAATCTAAACTTATAAGAAATGCAAGTTATTGAATTCTAAAGCAATGTCATTTCATTCTCTGATCAAAATAATTGAAAAATTACATCGATAGGGCAAGGTTTCATGAACCTATAATGAATTTAAACTAAAAGTATTATAGAGGGTTGCATATATATATATACGTATATATATATATATATAAAAAAAAAAACCTTGAGTAAAGCTAAAAGCTAGAAGCCAGAATAAAACATCTTGAGACATTTAACTGATGAAACAAAATCTAAGAATTCTCTTAAATCTATGTAAAGTCTAATATAAGGCCTCTAGAAACTTGCCAAAACACTTCAAGCTCATATTGTCCAATATGCAAAACAATAAATTTATACAACTAATCATTAGGTCAAACAATTTGCAAAAGCCAATCTAATATCAAAGTTATCAAGTTTTTTATTTTTTATATATAACACTGAAAACTGAAATATTCTTGATAAAACGTATTCGAACACAAACCTACTTACAATTTTTTTTTTTAATCCATCTAAATTTGACAAAATCCAATTAAATGAAAGTTGAAGTCTTTCATCCAATTCAATTGTTGTGGAAATATGAGCATGTTTAGTCTTCATCACGATTAAACTGTATTATAAAATTAAATATATTAAATTGTTTATTATGTGGTACTCAAATTAAATAATCTATTTTTTTTTATATGAAAAAGAGGTTCAAACTTGAGATCTTTTAAAAAAGATGAGAAATAAGGGCATTAATTTTAGTTGAGTTATATTATTTACTTATATTGTTATGATTTTTAAATTAAAATTACTATTAAATATGTAATTTTAATTTAATATATGTTTTTTTAAAAAATTTAAAAGACGTATCGTTTGTTGATAAAATGATTTTTTTAAAGTGTTATAAGTGAAAACAAGATAACAAGGATTAAAACATTACATAGGTTCGTAAAAGTAATATATAAATTTTAATAAATACCTTCATTAATGCACGAATTTTTTTAAAATAATATAAATAAAAAAATTAACATATCACATTAGTCTCCTGAGTAATAGAAATTTTGTATAATTTAATTAAGGATCATATATTTACTATTAATATTTTTGTTATTAAAAAAATAAATTTATTTTGTCATTAAATTTAAATGAAACCAATATTTCATTTTTAAAAATATTATTTTTTATTTTTTAAAAAAGAAAATTACGAATTTGACACTATAATGTATTTTAGTTGTATCTCAAATATCCTCTTATATCTCCAAAAAAATCCGAAACTAAATCAATTTTTTAATTGTATATATAAGTTAAAAATTTGTATTTGATACATGCCCAAGTACACAAGTTTTTTTTTTTTTTTTTGTTGAATTATATGTGTTTCTTACATAGTTGGTTAACCTAGTCTACTACTTCAACTTGCAACATCTGATTTGGTTTGGTGTGGGGCAGTATGATTTGGTTAACTCGATCCTTGGATGCCCTTGACCTAGTTGTTGACTAACTCTCGAGCATCTTCGACTAGGTCCTAGATTGACTTTCGATCACCTTGGACCTAGTCCTTGATAGAATCCCGAGCGAACCAGACGGTATAGGCCTGGATCATGGGCTTTTCTAACTAGGTTTAGGTCTAAACTTTTGGCAAGATCAACGTCTATTTCTTGATTTTCAAATCCAACTTGACTCTTAAAATATATGATAATATTGTTAAAAAAAAAAAAATTATTTAGAAACCACATTTTTTATTTTTTATTTTTCAAAATTTTTTACCAATTTTATATATTTTTAAAAAGATAATTTTCAGATAAAATACATAAAAGAAATGATTCAAATAAGATGTTTTATTAAGTAATAGATATTAGAACACAAGGAAAGCCTTCTCCATTATTATCGCACAATTTTGAATCTCTTTATTTTACACATTTTTTTTTTAAAAAAACACAAAATTAAATGCCTTGTGTTTAATTTACTTGACTCTGTAATTTTTATCTTAGGTTTAGGATTGTTTTAGAAATTCTATGATTTTTAGGAGTTTTAAAAAATAAAAAATAATAAAAGAAGAAAAAGAGAGAAGATAAACAAAAGAAGAAAAAGAGAAGAGAAAAGGTTTAAAATTAATAATGTGGGAAATTGAATTACGAGTTTAATTAAAAAAATTACCAATAGAAAACACAAAGGAAAAAAGAAAGAAGGGTTAAGGTGTAAAATGTGGGAAAAGATGAAAAAGATAAGGCTAATGTCAAAATTCTCAAAACCCTAACTAACCCTAATTATAAAAATCCCAATTCTTTTCTCACTTAAGAGGATGTCATTCGTTCATCTTCTTCTCCAATTAAAAACCTAGTGAGAGAAAACTCTCTCTCTCTCTCTCTCTCTCTCTCCAACATTCTATCAAGAAAGAAGAGCCTCTATAGCCAAAAAAATCAACGCTTACAACTTTCATCCTTTCTTTTGCACAAGTCGCAGACCTCTCCTCCAATTCACCTTCATTTTGTTTTCTGCCCAACACCTCCATCTCCTCCTCTATTATAGCTACCATTTTCTAGGCCTAAACCTTCCTCAAAACAACCCCTAAAACTCCCTTAAGACAGCCATTAAGACACCCATAAAACAACCCCATAATCTCCTCCAAACCTGCGACCAAGCCTCTCCTCCAAAAATCATGAGATGTTGTCTATTTTCTAGCCATCTTCCTCCACCTCTCATCCCTCAGTACATCCCCTAACCCCCCTCTCTCAAAATAACCACTAAAACCTTCTTAAAACAACCATTAAACCCCTTCCCACAAAACAACCCCCAAGCCTTCTGTCATTCGGCAACTGCTGCTGCTTCTTCCAGCAATTCCCAAGCCACCCAAACAACCACTCCACCACAAACAACCACTATCTAGTAGATCTAGTAGTGGCCAACAACCTCCATTGGTGGCCAACTAGCCTAATAGCTCCAACAACCTCAAAACTCGCCAGTAGCTACTGAACCAAGAAAGTTTTATTGCTGGCAGATTGACCTCCAGAGGAAGATATAAGAATTTTATCTTCTTAGAGATCTAGAATAGAAAAGATACTTTCTTAAGGTTTGAATTAGATATTAAAGTTTCCATATTGAGCTTAAACGTGCAAATCCATTTTGGTTTGAGCTGCAAAGTCAGACACAAAATCAAGTCAAAAACTCAAATCTCGTGACGATACAGAATACTACCTGATGTTTACATCATATGTAAAGCTATACACATCGATCGGATTACAATGATTAAAAAGTATACAAAAGAAGACATCCAAACCTAAAACATTTATGAAGAGCTCAAAACCAAACAAAACCTTCATCTGACCTGAAATCAGTCTTAAGATATAAGACTCTAAGTAGCCCTCTGTTCGTTTTTCCAGCAATAATTACAGACATCAACCCCCTCCTTGACAGCCGGTATTCTAGCAGTTGTGGACAATAGTTTCTTAACATTTCAACCCCAAAAACGATAGCCTCATACTCTCTCTCCCGACCAACTTTCCTTCAAGAATTAAAGAAAGTGGTTTTGAAAATAAAGGAAAAATCACAATTTAGAATGCTTAATGTTCCCTCTCTTCGATTGAAAATATAGATTGTTTCTATCAAAGAGTTGAAAAGAGACAAATTAGTGTTTGACATAAAAACATCTCTGATACTCCTAGAGAGATTCTTCAATCACTTCAACGAACAAGGTAAGTCTCCAACATTCTTAGCACTGCATTTATGTCTAGATCGATATAATGAATGAATCCAATGTTGCACCCTAAATATTTGGAGGAGTAATAAAATTGATGTTTAGTTTTAGACCTTCAACTTGAAACCCACATTTATAATACCCTCTGGCAAGTTAGGCTCCTCACAACAACAACTGTAACTTATAAACATGCCATCATGCATCACTTGATTTACCTACACCACAAGAAAAATAATGAGCTAAACTCAACAAGTTTAATCATGCATGAAATGCAAATAAATTCATTTTTAATGCTATTGAAATATGTTTTCTATCCTCAAATGCACTCCGCTAATGTACACATATTCGGCCCTTCATAAAAATCATCCTAGTGAAAACCATAAAAGCTCTAGACATAGTCGATTCATATTCCTCTCAAAGGGTTGATCATTTCCCTTGTGAGCCTCTTGAAGAACCAAGAACCAAGAACCATGAACATGATATTCCTTTCATTTCTTGAAATCATGATAAATCATTTTCATGACATGAACATGAACGCAAATAGATGCATTTCTCAAGTACATACATGAACATAATTCAAGTAACATTATACATACCATGAGGCTGAAACCAATGACAAGGAACGAATCATGTAGCATGAATTCCATAAACGAATCTAAACTCACCATGATATCACAACAATTCTCATCAATAATTAAACACCTAAACACTTACCCAAGTAACCTTACTTAATCATGTAACATAAAATCATCAAGTAACTCATAATTATTCTATTAATCCATAATCATATGAAAAAACATCTACCCACACGCTGATTTGCAGACCACATTCATGCAAAATTCCCTTTGCATCATCACATATGATCAATATGCCTCAATAACTATCCAAACGTAATATGAACATGAAACAGAAGATAATATCATAATCATAAGCTCCATAGAACTTACCCAGACAGAAATTGATAACCAGCACATAGTAGTGCAAAATCACAAGATAATTTCATATCTTAAAGAAAATTCATTCAAGGAAAATAAAAAAGCAATCTCCATGCTGACAAGAAACACTAGCTACAGAAGCAAGGCTATTTACTGCACCAGCAGCAACTTACAAAGCTGGAATTCAACTACTATTCTAAAAACCTTGATCCTGGGAGTAACTGTTATTGAAAGGTTTCCTTTCATTAGCATAGCTCACACGAATGTTTCTTCCTCCCAAATCCTGCAACATCCAAGTGGAACAGTCAACATAAAATTCAGGAATCAGGGCACTAAACTCCCTCAAAAACATTCTATTTCTGACCTGGCCATCCATTGCTGACAGTGCTTCGTCAGCAGATTTATTGCTTTCAAATGAAACAAAACCAAATCCGCGAGACCTCCCAGTATCTCTATCAGTGACAACCCTTGCTGTAAAACAGAACCAGATTGCAAATCACTACACTGACAACACCAAGCACCAGCAAATAAAAATTGTTTTGCAACAGCTACCACAATATAAAAAGGTGTCATTGGATTGAGAGAGAATCTCACAAATTATATCGTTAAAACCTTGAAATCCAACTGAAATGACACTCCATCTTTCTGAAATTATCATTGTAGAATCTAGGGAAAATTTTGACGTGGCATATAATAGACTACTTTTTAAACCTAAATTTTGAACTGGAGGACAATTCCAAGAAGCCATTGATACTTGTCACTCCAAGTGTGGATGAGCAGTAGTAAACAATTACCCATGAGATTCCAGATAAAGCATACAATATTTGAAATATCCAAACTAAATTGAATGATAATAAATCCACATGACAAAGCATGGTTTCAAAGATACATCAGCTGAAAACATAATCACCAGTCACAGTCAACATTTTAAATATAGTTACCCAGGAAAAAAAATATGTTCATGTCTGTTTCAAAAATTTAATAAAAGCACCCCTTGCTATATAACTGATTCAACAACAAATGCAAAAACTTACCATCAGTCACTTCCCCAAAGTTAGCAAATGCATCCCTGAGTGTTTGGTCATCAGTTGCCCATGCAAGACCTAAAACACACACAGATAAGATTGACAAAAGCAGAGCATTAATACAAAACACAAATGAACTTGTAGCATTCAAACAGCATTAATTCATCAATACCTCCAACGAAAAGCCTTGATGAAGACATGCAGCGAATAGTGTTCAGCATGGATGCCATTGGAACTTGCCCATTCTGGGAAAGAGACTGCCTCACTAGGCTCCCAAGCTTGTTAGGGAAAGCCATTTGGACTAAACCAAAACCACATCATTGCATCAGTTTCAAACGTTAACAATATTCAACCAAAACAAACTTAAAACATAATGTAAACAATTCACAATCACGAGATCCCAAAGCAACACTCAAAATGATGCCTTAAAACAGATATGAAGTTAAATTTCAAGTTTTGTTTAATAAAATCAAATAACCAACTCTGATTTAAAAACTCAAACTTGAAACATTAACATAACAGAACCGACTATTCAGAACACAAAAATACTCAGAAAACCAAAGTAGAGAATCCAAACTCTATTTGACCCTACACTCACAACATACACACTCCATAAGCAGCACAGGTAAAAAAATATAAAACACTCAAAAGGGCATCATTAATAACCTACAAAATCAATATCAAACCATTCAAACAGACGAAAACCTAACAAAGACAAGTGACCAATCATGTGGCAAGCAAAACATTACCCAAAACCAAAAAAACACAAACAAAATATCAAAACAAAACCCTTTTAAGAATACAACCCAGTAAACCCAATTTAGTACACAATAAAACAAGATATGAGACTAAAACAAAAAGAGCAAAACTTTACTGAAAGAAACCAAAATATGATAAATAAAACATCATAAAAACATAATTTTTTATGTAAAACACCAACATCAAACAGTCAAATACAAGAAAACATAAAGTCCATTCAAGAAACGAAGACAAGGGGGAACAAAAAGATCATATCCATGAATTGGGGTTTAAGCACAGAGGGTAAAGAGTATACCTTTGAAGAAGAAATGAGGGATGGGGTTTTGGGCTTAGGAGAGAGTGTAAGGAAGGAAACGGCTAGGGTTCAAGAGAAATATGGAGTGATGAGTGGCACTTGAATAATATCTTGTTGAATTTATAGTGTTGAGAATTTGATGTAGTGCCGTCTTGGGTTGTCCCTTTGGATTTTTGTTGCGTCAATAGGGAATTCGATGGATTGCAGGACGCAAACTGTGGAGTAATAATTTAAAAACTTCTTGGTTTTTATCCAGTCGGGATAACATCGGACGACGAGTCATCCGAGGAGTCGGAGGATAAGGCACTACGGGTCAGGTGTGGGGTGGTGCCTTATGCACATTTAATTTCAGATTTAATGGCATAAAATTTCTTTCTACTTTTGTAGTTTTCGTAACATAGCTTCTGTATTTTTAATTTATTCAATCTTTATTTATATTTTTAATTTTTTTCTTAATATGACTCCTTAATTATCTTACGATCAATTTTTCAATTGAAATTAACATGTGATAAAAAAATCTACACACGCATTATATATATATATATATATATATATATATATATATATATATATATATAAAATTATGGTTATGTACCCATTTAATTTCTATCAACAATTAAATTATAATCTTTTTGTAAAAATAAAAAATAAAAATTATTATTACACATTCTCTATTAATTACTATTATTCTGAAATTTTCTCAAGAAAGAGGGACGATAACATTTAAATTATAAATTCATCCTTCAAAATAGCGATTGTGCTTTTATTACTTTATTTATTAGGATTTTGTTTTAGGCCTAAAACATTTTACATGGAACAAATGTTAGGATGATAAGCAAGCCGTGATGTAAAGATATGATGAAAGTAGAACGATTATGTGAATAATGTTAGAAGATTATAATTGCAGTGCCAATGTTAGTATGGCTTAACGTGATGGTTTTGGCAACGACGACAAGAGGAGGCGGCTGCAATGGTGAATGGTGGAAATGGCTGCCGTGGAGTTGAGGCCACGGTGAAGATTGTGGCAGCATGGTGGTAAAGGTGGTGGTGGTGTTGCAGTCAAGGTTATGGAGATGGCACGGCGACAGTGAATGGTGGTGTTGCAGTCAGGATGGTGTTTAACTATGATTAAAAAACTCAAAATTGGAACATTAACATAACAAAAACAGACGATTCAAAACACAAAAATCACTCAGAAAACCAAAGTAGAGAATCCAAACTCCTAAGAGATTATTTGACCCTACACTCACAACATACACACTCCATACGCAACCTGAGTAAAAAAATATATACTAAACACTCAAAAGGGTATCATTAATAACCTACAAAATCACAAACAAACCATTCGAGCAGACAAAAAATCTGTACAAACAGGACAAAGGACCAATCATGTGCCAAACGAAACATTACCCAAAACCAAAAAACACAAACAAAATCTCAAAACAAAACCCTTTTAAGAATACAACCCAATAAACCAACTTTAGCACACAACACGACAAGAACTGAGACTAAAACAGAAAGAACAAGACTTTACTTAAAGAAACCAATTATCATCCATAAAACATCATAAAAACATAAAGTTTTACATAAAACAGCAACATCAAACAGTCAAATGCAAGATAAACATAAGAGTCCACTCAATAAATGAAGGAGAAAGGGAAACAAAAAGATTCAAAAAGAGTACATCCATGAATTGGGGTTTAAGCACAGAGGGTACAGATTATACCTTGGGAGAAGAAACGAGGGAAAAGGGTTTTAGTTTTGGGAGAGAGTTCAATGAAGGAAGCGGCCGGGGTTTAGGAGATATATGGAGTGTGATGAGCGGCAGTTGAATAATATCTTGCTGAATTTTCAGTGTTGAGAATTTGATGATGTAGTGCTGTTTTGGGTTGTACCTTTGGATTTTGGTCGTGTCGAGAGTGGCATCGTCATTGATGTACAAGAGCTTTTAATAGTGAATTTGATGGATTTTGTCTGACGGAAACTGTAGATGAATAATTTAGAAGGAAGATCGTTTTCATCCGTTCGTGATAGCGTCAGCTAATAAATATCTTCTTAGATTCAGCGGACGAAGTATCATGCGGGTGAGTTGGAGGACAGCCACTGTGAGTCATGGTGTGGTGCTTTTCCTTGAAGTAGAACTCCTCCTTGAAGTAGAGATTGTAGTTTCATTTTAGTAAACTTAATTTTGTAATCACCAATATATATATATATATAGTCTTTCTTGTTTTATTTATTTATTATCTTTTAAACTTTAAATAATATCAATAGATTGGTTTGGTAATAAAAAAATGTTTGTTCGTTTATAGTAATACCAAAAAAAAAAAAAAAACAAATAACCTGAAAGAATGATCTCTTATAGTATATAGAGAGAGCCAATACACAAACATCTCCATCCCATGTCTCCATGTCTCCTACAATCATTCTCGTCCACAAAACATACCAACGGTTGTACTTAGCTATAAAACCATTGTTTGATCCCTTTCAACAACTAAAAGAGACCACTTTTGAGTTTTATTGGGCAAGGAATCTTGGGTCCAGAGATTTTGCTTTTCTTTAATTTCCATTACGGCAAAAACATGCTAAGCAAACATGGCTTGTGTTCCCATACAAGGGACCTATGGGCACAAAAGAGAAGAGAATAGTGGAATAAAATGGATGATAATTTTTTTGAAATAATTCCACTACATGTATATTAATTTTTAATATTTTTTAATTGATTATATTAATTTTAATTTTTTTCATTTGAATATGTTGATTTTTTTTTTTAAATTAAAAATCAAATATTTATCGTCAAATTTTTATCAATTGTTCCATTATTTTCCTCGAACAACTAAAAAACGTTTTTTTCTATATTATTATGCTATCCTTTACTTTTTAGACACAATGATAATTTGAATGTTTACTGTATAAAGAATATAAAATTACAAAATATTGGAAAGAAAATTTTCTTCAATAATGAAAAGATAAAATTTATGAAAAAAAATATGTTATTAAATTAAATAAAAAATATTTGATTGGTAGGTTTGAAAAAATTAAAGCTTATACCTTGGATTTGTGCAATTTCCAATCTCTTCGCAGGATGTGATTTTGTGACACGTGTAGGGAGAGATAGATATTGCGATAGGGTGGGGAGGTGCCACGTGCCAATGCTGTAATAGTACGGTAGTGACAAAAGGAACCTACGCACATGCTCTAAGGCTCATGGCTTCTTAGGGTAAATCTCTTCTATTATTGAGCTGGTATTAGTACCACGCGCTCCGTTAGTGCGTGCATTTTTCTCATCTTGGACAAGGGCAACAAAATCTTGATCGCTCGTTGCTCTACCGTGTAAGACAATGATTATGCATGAACATGTTCAATTAAGCTTTTTTTTCAAGAACAATTAAGTATGGTTTTGTCAACCTATTTTTTCATGGTGAGATTACATTTACATCTCAAAGATAAATTATTATGAGTAAAAATAAAAAGTATAGTTTTTTTTATTATTTTATTCTGAAAAATAAATAACAATGAATATGACATTGAATATGTTTATTTCAATAAATTAGATACGAATTTTTTAAATATTAAATTTAACGTAGAAGAATATTTGTCGATGTAATAGTTTCTTTGTCCAATTTTTAATTAATTAGTTGAAAAAATTAATTAAAACCAAATAATTAGCATGATTAGAGACATAACTAGGTAAATGAAATATTGTTTGTGATTGAGTTACCAACCTTGCATGAGATTATTATGTTGTAAATATTGTACTCCTCCTTAATTTATTTTGAAAAATTTCAAATAGGAGGTTGATATGATTTTTGAAATATCGTCATGTATATACAACTAAATTGAATGAAATATGAACTCGTCTTAATAATTTAATGATTTATATATGTTAAGACAATTCATAATCTCATCATAATCTCATTAATAAATATTGTTCGAAGCCTATAAACAATACAATTTATGAAATTGGAATATTTTGGCTTAATTTAGTTGACATTTGTTTTGTCTCTTAAAAAACTTTTTTTTTTTTATCAAACTTAGCAATTGAATAAAATCAAACTTTAATATATTTTATGTAATTTCAAGATAATAAAAAATAGATTTAAAACGAAATTGGATGCCAATTAACATAAATTACTTTACATGTTAACGTGAAATCAAATTCCGTCTAAATTTAAAATATAATAAAAGTAATTTTTTTTGGTTTATTATAAACAAGAGATTTAAAAATTCATTATTAATAATTCACTAATATATATCATTGTTATCTTTTAAAACATGTATTAAAACACTATATGATAATACAATCATATTTTCATATAAGATTTATTAATATTTTTACATCAGATTTATATTTGATAATAAATATTTTGTATCTAAATAATATAAACAGTATATCTATAATTTAATCTCAGTTCACCTAACTCATAAACAACATGATGGTTACAATCGAAGGGTCACATGGCATAAAAAAAACCTAGAATTCTTGAAAGCAAAGTTTTATAGCCTACAAGTACAAGAAGATCCTTTATTATCATCAAAATCTTTAAAAACAATCCCATAAATTCTAGTCCACAGGAGAACATCCTTAGTAAAGTAGGCGCGTACATTAAACATAGACAAATAGAGCGTGGGCCAAAAAAAGGAATTGGAAGAAGAAGACTAGGAGTTTGAGAAAATACTCTCAAAGCATTTTTTTTCTCTTACTTTGTCACACACACACAAACACAAGTGAGTGAGTCACAAATTTATATGGACCTGAGTCCCCCTCTTTGTTTCTCTTCTTTCTTCCTTTCTTCGCTCGCTCTTCTTTTACTCTCTCGCGTGGAGCTTTCGTAGACAAATAAAAGAAAGAAGCCCCCTTTCTCCTATTAACGAGAGAACAACAAACAGTAGCAAAAGCAGAGAAAAAACTAAGGCTGAAACGCAAAAAAAGATCAAAACTTGTTATTGTTTCAGTTCACGAAATTCAATAAAGGGAAAGATCTTGTTCCTCTACAATAATGTTCTGTTTGTTGTAGCGGACAAGGTAATCTGATTAGATGGATAGATTGATTTTGAGACAACCTTTTTTCTTTTGGGGTCTAAGTTGTGTATGATTTGTATTTTTGAAGTTTACTCTTTGAATCAACCTTTCTTTTTGGCTTTTGATTGATACCCATTTACACCTAGGTAGTGAAAAGTCTCTCCTAGATTCCCTTTGTTCTTTATATATTCGACGGATTCTTTTTGTTGGTTTTTTGGAGCTGAATTTAAGGGCTTTTTTTAAGAACTGGATTTGATGTGCTTATTGGTCTATTTTTGTTTAGGGTTTTGCTGGATCGTAATTGGGAACTTATTGAATTTCTTTATTTTGGACTGATTAGGGTTTTGATTCAAGAGCACAGCAGGAAATGAGCTGTCTTTCAAGTAATTGGAGTTGTGGATTGGACCATTTGTGCTTGCCACAAATTTGAGACTGCATAGAGTGGTATCGTCGAGCATTGCTTGTTTTTGGGGCATGGAAGAGGATTGTACATTTAAGATCGTCTGGCAGTGATCAAGAATTGTTTTTCTGTTGTTTTGGAGGGTAAAGGTTTCTGGGTTTTGGCTGTTTTGTGCATGATCTTGAACCTGGGAATGATTTGTGTATTAGGGTTTGGTTTTAAGGGAAAGGAGGTGATGATTCTTTGTTGGCACAGAAGGCAACACAGAAGATTAAAGTGTAGTGGGCTATTTTCATTGCTCAAGAAACCTTTTGGTTTAACATAATTTAAGTAAAGTTCTTTGTCAAGAAAGAAAACTTCTCAAAGTTATTGCAACTGAATTTTTGTTGAACCATTGCATTATAGTGTAGTACAATAGCAGATTGGACCAAGTGGATTAGTTTTGAGCTTTATTATTGAAGTTATTTGTTTTGAACGATAAGGTATTGTTTTGAAATTAATTTCCAGTGAATTCTGTCTCGCCGGTGTGTGCATCACAGCGAAGGTCATTGGTGGCTTTGGAACTTGTGGCTATTGGATGTGATATAGAAGTTCATTGAGAAGTATTGAAGCTGGAAATGAATGTGGGGACATGGTGCATGGACGGGAGGATATTTACTGGTCCATTCCCTTTTCGGAACAGTGCTACTGGAAACTAATTCAATCATTTTCTTTGGTGAAAGGCATTGCTGTTTTGTGTTTTGGGATTCTGTTCAATGTCGCGTTGCTTTCCGTTCCCACCACCAGGATATGAAAAGAAGGCCAGGAGTGATGATGTCGACCTACTAAAAAAGGTTAATACACTTGCCGTTTACTGAACAATATTGCATAATTGGCACAATATTTATTAGAGCCATCAAAAAGAAGTCTGTTCTCTGATTTGCTTTTAATCAAAACAATCGAAATGATAACTGTCATGTCTTAAATTTAATTACTCTTTGCGCTTATCACTTAAAATTTTTAACTGACGAGACAGAAACAGTATTCCTTTCCAAGCGAAGCACATTCCTTTTCAATTAGGCTCTGTTTAAACAAAGATAAGATCTTAGTTGTATGTGAACAAAGAGTACTACTGTTTGTTTGGATGCTGAAAGGTCATGATGGATGAGATGACTTTGTGGCATTTACCTGTTACAGATAGTTCTGGTAACATGCTTCTGCTAAATTGATTGATTCATGGTTTTATTTGTTAGTTTTAAGCTCGGTCTGGATTTTGCCTCCTTGTTCGTGCTTTAGATGTGGTTACGTACACCAGATTGATTTATTCATGGTTTTATTTGTAGACTTTTAATATCTGTCTGGCTGTTGCCTTTTTAGCGATCTTATTGGATAGTAAGCATCATGAGTATGGTATTTGCAGAAGTTTCTTATATCGGAAAAGTAGGGAAGTGCCGGTATTTTTTCATGTATGAACCTGACCCCTGATTGTTGTGATGTTTCCTACAACAATTTTGTCTTTGTATAATTGGCCTAGATGAGCTTATAATTTACCGAAAGACTATAGAAATGAGTTCCAAAGTTTTTTTTTTCTTTTTGAAAAGAAAAAGCTCTTTAATATATTGCAGTGAAGGAAAGCTTTGTTCTCAAAAACTTAGAATTTAGGAGATGGCTACTGTAAGCACTTTTTATATAATAATGTGGGTTTTAGCCATTGGATTGGTGTTTTCAAGTCAAAAGTACACAAATGTCAAAGCAACAAAATCAATGGCTAAAAATCACATTCTTGTATAAGAAAGTGCTTATAGAAGTCATTCCCTAGAATTTACCTGTTTATCTGTCATCGGATATTCAACTGCCATGAGTCAGAAAATAGACGAGATACTATCCTTGTAGAGCCTTAATTAATTGAAAGCCCTTTTCTTGGTTTTTTCTGTCATTAGTTTGAATGAATGAGAATTATACTTATTTATATGTTTTCTTAAGTTGACTAATTTAGTATCTAGTTAAATAGTTAGCTCCATTTGCCAAAGCTGGTTTCTTGTAAAACCTTTGTGGTCATGCTTGCTTATGAAACTAGATTTGCTGTACACTTGTTATGGTTGGTAGTTCTCTTTCATGTTCATCTTAGGTTTAAATGGATAAATAGTTTCAGGGTTTGGAGTATTAATGGCATGTGAAAGAATGCAGCATAAGGTCTTGTAGTTTTTCAGTTGAATTTAATACCTAATGAGAAACTAAGAGGAAATATGAGAGCAGGACCTTTTTGTGGGAAAGAATGGGCAAGACAGAGAGCATTCCATAATTTACTTTAGAAATGTGATGTTGAAGCTATTTTTATGAAGAGAATGAGAAAGACATAGGATAACTTAGATATTAGGTCCTGTAGGTGCCTGCATCTTTCATAGTACCCAGCAATGGAGGACAGCAAGAACAGGTTGAACAAACTACCCAAAACTACTGTGGACACAGTGGAAGGAGTATCCCTTAACCAGCAGTCTTCCCAAAAATGAATGTGGATATGATTTCCTACTTGTAATGGAAGGAAAAGTGAGGAGAAACATGAGATTTAAATATTTAAATGTTCAAGCATATGACAGCATCACACTTCCAACTCTTCAATTGAAAACCAAACTCTTTGTTATGTATAGGGTTTTACAGCCTTGTAAATATCTCATGACTTTTTCTTGCTAATGAAATCAGCCTTAATTGAAAGCTTTAGGATTTTTATGTTGTTTAGCGCACTTGGATTTTCCTTCTTTTTTTCCCCTTCAGCATCATGGAACATTGATGTTCTGGCCTGATGAAGATGTTGGCTCTATCCTGTACAAAAATCAAATACAGGATAGAAAGGTTTTTGCTTCTATAATTCCCTAATTCATTTTCAATGTAATTTTTTTGCCGAAAGCCTTCAGGGGATTGAGGCCTCAATGGAACATTTATGTTCCAGCCTCATTAAGGTGTGGGCTGCATGAATCGTGTACAAAAATCAAAGACAGGATCGAAAAGTTCATGACTTTATGACCTAGAATTCCTTAAAATTCATTTCAAGGTCGATTCTTCTGAGAGCATTCAGGGGTTTGAAAACTTCTAATATTTTTCCTAAGCTTGTTGATAGAATTTGTTTTCTAACTTATAGGATATGTTTGTTCTATAAATTATTAAACTTCCATTAAAGGAAACTCATGGAGGTAGAGCGATACAGTACATAAATGGACTAGTTTATTTTCTTTCTCAAATTTGATTCTGGTGGCCCTTTATATCACATCAATTTTTATAATCTTCCTACTTTAGTTCTGATATTTGGGGTGCATGGAGATTTTGTATTTATGGAATACCCATTTGGAAATGTAAGGTTGCAAAGAGTTGGACTAGATTGCAGATAAGTGTACTTTGCTTCAAATATCAGGGATCATGTCCATTGTACAAATATGGCATAACTCATGTTCTCAATGAGCTTTTAGTTTGGGGCTGTAATGATATTATTTCATCTGATGGTTTCCAACTTTTAGTGTGCGGAAAGACATGGAAAAATGCTGTTATAACTCTACATTTAATCTGTCTTTTGGGTGTCATGGAAAGGATGGAAATATCTTTGCCTGGGAGAGTAGGGTTCTACTTGAGGCCGATAAGATGGTTAGAATTGTGAACTTAAATTATATTTGTAAAGTTCCCTTTCCTTGGCTGCAACTTTGTAGAGGTCTTGCAAGAAGGAAATGTTTGTGTGGACTATTTTTGGTATTTATGTCTATAGGGCTCTCTGTCTATAGGGTTCTTGCTAGCTCTTGGTTGCTTCTTATCTCTTTAACTTCCTTGACCTCTTTTCTTGTATGCTTTTTATCATGATGTAACTGATAAAAGGTATGTTCCATCATTTAGGCACACAGGAGGTACCTGGCACAAGGCATTCTGCTTCTTTTCCTGCATAAGTCTTAGGGCCGGCTTCCACATCAAAGTTTTGATTTATCATCTTTGCATTTTGTTTTCAAGCTTTGGGTAGTAAAAGGATTGAACATATCTTACATTATTTGCGCATGTAATGGATTCCTGTCTTTCTATGAGTCTCTTCAGTTGAATGATTTCTTATCACTTTCCATAATTGTCAGGAGAAGGAAAGCGAGAAGAAGCACAAGAAGGAGAAGAAAGATAAAGAGAAGAGAGAAGATAAAGAAAAGAAGGAGAAAGATAGGAGTGATGGAAAGCACAAGGATAAGAAAGACAAAAAGGACAAGCATAGAGATAAAAAGGAGAAGGATAGAGATAAGGATAAAGAAAAAAGCAGCGCCTCAGATGAAAAGAGACTTCCGGGGCAAGCTAAGCTTCACAATGGAGGAGATAAAGCCTCGGATGAAAGGAAACTTACTGGGCAATCTAAGCATATCAATGGAGATAAAGCCTTGGATGGCGGGAAACTTCCAGAGAAATCAGAGGGTAATGGTGGAGAGATTTGTACTCAGAAGGGGAAGGAAAGGGATGTGGATAAGAATAGCATCTCTGGTGAGAAGAAATTTGCTGGGCAATTTTCAGGTTATAATGATGAGAAACTCATTCAAAACAACAGCAATTTGTATAACCATCCTAAGGATTCCAAACTTGCACAAGAGCTGGGCAAGAGAGTCAGAGATGAAGACAGAAACCAGTTCTTTGAGAAGTTCCCTGGTGCAGATGCAAAAGGGGATGAGGGAAGGGTCAGACTGGTGGCGAAAGCCCCTGGCAATTGGGCTGAAGGAAAAGAAAAGAAGAGAGATGATGATAGAAAGTTGGATGGGCAAGAGATCAGGGATGAGGCAAGATTTTCTGGAAGTGCTCAGACCCTTTCTGCAACATTTCAGGCTAGAATTGATGGAACACCAAGACCACTGGACAAAGACATTGAGAAGAAGATGGAAGGAAAAGATAAGACCAAACAGAAGGAAAGCAATGATAAACTCAGCAATAAACGCAAGGATAAAGAGAAAAAAGGCAAAGAAAAGGACAAAGTCAGGGATAAGGAGAAGAAAAAGGAGGAGAAAGCAAAGGAGAAAAGTGAGCATAAGAAGAAGGAGCCAGGTAAATTGAAGGAAAGCAGTATGTCTGACGTTGTAGGTAACCATACTGTAAAAACCTCCCATCTTCCCAAGGAGAGCACAAATAGTGCTGTCAGTGAAGTAAATATCATGAAACGAAAGGACTCGGACACAAATGGATTTTTGCACGGTGAGTCAAATTCAAATGGCTATTATTGAAACCTTGTCAACCGATGTTTCTTTTAACCGGATTTTGGTGGGTATCTCATATTCTTTAAGGTGTTGATTTTCAAGTTCTGATATTGATTGACCAGAAATGTTTTCACAGAGATTAATCCATTGTGTAGCAAGTTCGAACACCACATGCTTTGTATAAGCTAATGCATCTGCTTCCTTTTTGTTTTCCATTGCAGCTAACAATATTAAGCCCAATAAGTTGCCAAGACATACTTCCTCCTTGCCTCTATCAGCTGAGAATGGAAGGATGTTGGGAACTTGCCATAATCCCACGGCAGCTATACAAGGTAAGCAGGAGGCTATCAATAGCGATAAGGTGGATAATAAAGGACACAAGATAAATGGTTTGATAGAAGGTCAATCTTCGTCCATCTCCTCAACAGCTCAACCGCTATCAATCTCTTTAATGAAGTCTTTAACAAAGCCATCACATTCAACTGCACAAACTGATCAAATAGCTGAAGTGTCTACGAAACAACCCCATCCAGATTCCAAGTATCTGCCTGAGGTGCTTACAGTACCCAAAATTGAAGAGTGGCCTGATTTTGATGACCAAGAGTGGCTATTTCAGAGTACTATTTCCCAAACAAAGAAGCCCGAGGTTGGGTTTTCTGGGGTGGACGAAACACCACAGGTGTGGTCAGAAGCTCTGCAGATTGAGTCAGCTGATGGTTATGCACTGCCATACGTTATCCCCTATTGATGATTTATGCAGTTGGACATGGTTGGCCATCCTGCATCATCAAATGTGATGGACGTTCCATAGGACCACACCAAGGAGAGGTATAGCATATTCTGGGCCTTGGGTTGGTTATTTGATTCTCACGCTGCATTTTTCTGATTCCTTGGAGTGCAGTCTGCAACTGCCTCATTTACGAGACCGCAGTGATGTGTATTCTTCGACTGCCTGAGTTTTGAAAAGGTGGTGGATGCAAATGATCTCGGACACATCATTGCATGCCAGGGCTAGCACATATACAAAGGTGTTATTGAAGGGCAGGTACTACTGGCACAGAATCACTAATTCAACCAGAAAAAGCAACTGAGCACTGTTGCTTGGAAGAGATGCATAAGCTTGTGCAGTTTTATTTTATTTGCCTAAAGCCAAAGTTCTTTCTAGTTAAAATGTAAAAGAAAATGGCTGTGGTCTTGGCAACCCCACGAAAATTTTGATTTGTAACATACGAAGCTTATCTAAAGAAAATGTAAGATAGAAGAAAAGTAGTAGCATTCATTTATTCACTGCCTTTTTTCTTTTTTTTTTTGGGATTCTTTGTCTCCTTTATCGTTTTAGTTCCCTTGGTTTTCGTTCTTATGAATGTCTGTATAAATAACACAAAAGACTGATCGTCTTTTCATTGCTTCGTGTAGGTCTCCTATAACTGTTTCTTGGATAAATTTCATTTTTTTATAATAATTTTTGGTTTTACTTACTTGGAGTGAGTTTCTTGATCATAGAGGAAGATTTCTTCAAGTTACTTTTGAAGTTGAGTTGTTGTTGAACTATTGCAGTGAGTGTAGCATCATTGTAGGTCAAATTGAAAGGATTGGTTTTTAGGGTTTGATATTGAAGTAGACTTTCAAGTGGATTTTGTTTTACTGATGTTTGCATGACATTGAAGGTCACTAAGAACCTGCTTGGTATGTAGGACGATTTATGGCAATTGGTAAAGCTGTTTGTTGTCTATATTAGATCAGACAAATATGATTTTTATCGTATGTTATGTCCTGAAGTTCTATCCTTCCCCAAACAAGCTTATGTCGATCCATAGGACAAACTTTATGCAAGTATTCTTCCCACACAACTCATTCTCTTTTTTTTTTTTTTTTTTTTTTTTTTAAATTCGAAATCTTCACTTTTTTGGACTTTGGATTATTTTTTCTTCCTATATCTTATTTATAAAAATAAATTAATAAAAATATCTATTTACTGAAACAAAATAATATATTTTAAAATAAAAATTAATTATTTGGAAAATAAACAAAAAGTATTTTACATTGTTTCCAAAATAAACAGCATTATATATATATATATATATATATATCAATAAAAAATAATTTTATTTTGTAAGTAATCAAATATATTAAATAAAAAAATAAAATAAAGAAATTAGTATAAAAATATAAAAAATAAGAACTGAATAACATAATAAAAAACGATTTATTTTTAACATAAATTATTAATTTTATTTTTTAGTCCACATTAAAATAATAAATTAACCATTTCTATAACTTGAAAACAATTAAGAAAGGATATAGATTGTTATTTTTATATTTATATACACAAGACAATATAATTAAGGGTGTTATTATTCTTATAGCAAGTTGTTTTTATCACGTTACTTACTTGCCAAATACAAAATATAATTCAATCTAATGTGTATCAAAAAATAAATAAAATAGTTTTATTATGTCTTGTCTTATACACTTCAATCTTATTTTTTTCGATTCTAGCAAATGTACCTTAAAAGTCTGTATTTTCTATTGTAGATTTTTGTGACTTTCAGTGATAAAATACATACGTAAAATCTACTAAAGAAAAACTTTAATTTCCATATAGAAAAATTATGTCGTAAATAGCATCACAGTTACAATTTAAATAATCACATACAAATACGAGAAGATCCTTTATTGTTGTTTAATTGTATAATTTATATTTAAATTATTAGAATTACGATAAATTATTAATTTTAAAATAAAATTTATTTTTTTTGGTTATGTTTGACCGTTAACTACAATGTTTAAAATAGTATCGTTTTAAGGAATAATTAATAATAAATGATCACTCTTTTATACAAGAATATTTTAAATGAAAAATATATATATATATATATATATATATATATATATTCTTATAATTTTCATTATAAGAATATGACATTATTATTATTTATATATTAAATAGTTTTATCAAAATTAACAAATTTAAAGGGATTTATCTAGCAATAACTAAATTATGAAAGAGAAAAATGAAATTATTACCAATCTTTCCATAATCATTATAATAATTATAGAGATATCAATCCTTCATAATTATCATGATAATTATCACAACATTTGAATTTTAGATATCTAAATTCATTTAATTGTTAAGAAAGTATAAATAAATATGAAATTTATAACTTATCAAATTGATAATATATTATTATTATTGGCTATATTGAATTTTTTTTTTGTGATATATAAAATATTTAACATAAAAAAAAAACATATCCGTATCCGAAAATATATATCCGGTATCAAGATATACATATATATATATTCATAGTTCTCCTCGTTTCTCTTCTTCTATTTTCATTCTCGCGTGTAACTTCCGTAGACAGACAAAAGAAATAAAAGAAACCCCCCTCTATCTCTATTAACAAGAACAACAGTAGCAAAAACAGAGAAAAAACTAAGGCAGAAACACGAAAAAAGATCACAACTTGTTTTTGTTTCAGTTCCGAAATTCAATAAAGAAAGGGAAAGATCTTGTTCCTCTACAATAATGTTCTGTTTGTTGTAGCGGACAAGGTAATATGATAGATTGGATAGATTTCAGACAACTCTTTTTTTGGTCTAAATTGTGTGTGATTTGTTTTCTTCAAGTTCACTCTTTGAATCAAGCTTTCTTTCTTTGTTTTTTTTTTTTTTTTTTGCTTTTGATCGATACCCATTTCAAACTAGGCACTAAAAAGCAAAGGGTTTCTCTTATATTCCCTTTATTCTTCATGTATTCTACAAGTTCTTTTTTTTTTTTTTTGTGGAGGGGGGTGGTTTCCAGAGATTAATTTAAGGGTTTTTGGGGTTTGAGAAGTGGATTTTATGTGCTTATTGGAAAGTTTATATTTGGGTATATTTTTGTAGGGTTTTGCTGGATCGTAATTGGGAACTTATTGAATTTCTTGATTTTGGGCTGATTAGGGTTTTGATTCAAGAGTAAAGCTGGATATGAGCTGTCTTTCAAGTGATTGGAGTTGTGGATTGGACAATTATTGTTTGTCGTTAGTTTGAAGTTGCAGAGTGGTATTGGTGAGCATTGCTTGTTTTTGGGCATGGAAGAGGATTGCGCATTTAGGATTGTTTGGCAGTGATCAAGAAGTAGTTTTTTATTGTGTTGGAGGGTAAAGGTTTCTGGGTTTTGGCTGTTTTGTGGTTGATCTTGAACCTCGGAATGATTTGTATATTAGGGTTTGGTTAAGGGAGAGGAGTTGATTGTTCTTTGTTGGCACAGAACGCAAAACAGAAGAGCTGATTGTAGTGGACAATTTCATTTCTTAAGGAACCTTTTGGTTTAACATAGTTCGAGTAAAGGTCTTCATCAAGAAGGAAAACATCTAAAAGTTACTTATGCAACTGAGTTTTTGTCGATTTTTTTGCAGTATAGTGTAGTAAACTATCAGATTTGATCAAGTGGAATAGATTTTAAGCTTAGCTATTGAAGTTAATTGTTTTTAAACGGTAAAGTACTGTATCACTGTGTATTGAAATTAATTTTCAGTGAATTCTGTCTCACCGGTGTGTGCATTACGGCGTAGGGCATTTGTGGGTTTGGAACTTGTGGCAGTTGGATGTGATATAAACGTTCATGAAGAAGTGTTGAAGCTCGATGAATGTGGGGACATGGTGCATGGACAGGAGCATAGTTATTGGTTCATACCCTTTTCGGAACAGTGCTACTGGAAAGTAATTCAATCATTTTCTTTGGTGAAAGGCATCGCTGATTTGTGTTTTGGGATTCTGTTCAATGTCGCGTTGCTTTCCGTTTCCACCACCAGGATATGAAAAGAAGGGCAGGAGTGACGATGTTGACATACTAAAAAAGGTTAATACACTTGCCTTTTACTGAATGACATTACATAATTGGCACAATATTTATTGGAGCCATCAAAAGGAATTCTTTTCTGATTTGCATTTAATCGAAACAATCCCAATGACAGCCAATTTGATTTTCCGTTGGTATTAAATACTTCCCAGAATTCTTTGCTGTCTAATCTTAAATTCAATTTATTCTTAGACTTATCATGTAAGTGTTTTAACTGGGGATACAGAAACAGGATTCCTTGCCAAATGAAGCACAATTATTTTCCAAGGCTTTGCTTAAACAAAGATAAGATTTTAGCTGTATGTACATAGAGCTCTGCTGTTAGTTTGGATGCTAAATAATCATGGTGGATGAGATGACAAAGTGGCATTCACCGTTCCCACTATACATAGTTTTGGTTGTGTGCTTCTGATAAATTGATTGATTCATGGTTTTCTTTGTTATTCTCTAATATCTGTCTGGCTCTCAGTTATGTTATCGGAGTATTATGCATCCTGAGTATGGTATTTACAGAAACTTTAAATGCTGGTATTTTTTCCATGTATGAATCTGATCCCAGATTCTTGTGATGTTTTCTACGAGAATTGTATTATTAGCAGATGAGCTTATAATTTACAGAAAGACTATTAAAATGAGTTCCAAAATTATAGAAAGCTCTTTAATACAGTGCAGTAGAGGAAAGCTTTGTTTTCAAAAAGTCAAAACATATTTTTTGTCAGATGATCAACTTCCAGGGGTCAGAAAATTACATCTACCTTTCTTCTTCTTCTTCTTCTTCTTCTTTTTTTGAGTTGATAAATTTTGTATCTTGTTTAACAGTTAGTTCAAATTGCAAAACCTTGTTGCTTGTAACATCCTATGTGGTTATGTTTGCTTATGAGACTGGATTTGCCGTACACTTGTTACGGACCGGAATTAATTTACATGTTCCCTTTTAGGCCTTAGATGGATAAATAGATTCAGGGTGCGGAATATCAAATGGCATGAGAAAGAATATGGTGTAAGTTGGAATGTGTTGCCATTTTTGGGTTGAATTTAATACCTACTGAGAAACTAGCATGAAATAATTAGAGCAGGACCCTTTTGTGGAAAAGAATGGGCAAGTCATAAGCATTCTGTAATTTACATTTGGAAATGTGATGTTTGAGCCATTTTTATTCAGAGAATAAGGAAGGCATAGGATAACTTAGATATTAAGTCCTGTAGTAATGGAGGACAGCATGGAAAGGTTGAACAAACTACTCAAAACCAATGTAGACAGAGCTGAAGGAGTATCCCTTAACCAGTAGTCTTTCCTAAAATGAAATTGGATGCAATTTCGTACTCGTTATTCAAAATAATAATGATGATGATGATGATAAATAAAAGAGAAAAAAGGGGGAAAAATGATGAGAACCTTGAGATATGAATATTTAAATATGTTCAAGTTTGTGACTGTCGTAATATTAGAATTTCCAACTCTTCAATTGAAAACCATACTGTTTTATATGTATAGGGTTTTACAGCATTTTAAATATCTCATGACTTTTTATTGCTAATGAAAGAAGCCTCAAATGAGATCTCTAGGATTTATGTGGTTTAGCACACTAGGATTTGCCTTTTTTTCCATTAAAATTCAATGGAAAATTGATGTTCCGGCCTCATCAAGATGTTTGGTGTGTCTTGTACAAAAATCAAAGACAGGATAGAAAAGTTCATGAGTTTCGCATCAATAATTCCTTAAAATTCTTTTCAAGCTCATATCTGCTGAGATCCTTAAGGTGATTGAAGTTGCATTGAAACATTGATGTTCCAGTCTCTTTAACGTGTTGGCTGCATGAATCCTATACAAAAGTGATAAACAGAATAGAAATGTTCACAAGTTTAACATCTAGAATTTCTTAAAATTCATTTTCAAGGTCTATTCCTCTTAGAACCTTTTGGGGAATGAAGACTTCTTTTAATATTTATCCAAAACTTAATGTATGGAATTTTGCTTTTTAACTTAAAGGTTATTTGTTCTATAGACTATTAAACTGTCATTAAAGAAAACTTGTTGAGGTAGGAGAAATACTGTACATATTTGATTCTTAAATGTTAATCGAGCTAATGTTATTTTGATTTTCCTGATGAGATGTGAGTAATGTGAAATCTTTTTGTCATGGTTTAGGAAATTTGCACCGACTGGGTGGTATTATTTGGTCTAGTACTCTAGTTTAAACAGGCTTTACAAAGTATTTGTTTAATTATGGTTATTGAAAGTAGATTGTCCTTTCAGGATACGCAGATTGAGAAATGGATAATAAGAGAAAGTACTAGCCGTTACTCTAGAACTTTTCCACTAAACTTTGATTATCGGATATGTTTGTTTGTTCCAGGGTGTGTGGAGATGGGTGGTGCGTCAGTGTGTCTTAAATAGAGAGTTTGGAGAATGGTTGCTTGCTATTTTGCCATTGGTGTTTTAGTTCATGGGTAAATCCTTGGTTTAAGTCCTTTCTATCTTAATCCTATATGGAGAAGGAACCAGTAATTGCATATGTCTATAATAAAAACAAAGATTCTTACAAGCTGAAACTAAGTAATAAATATGAGATCAGAACATAAACCTTCTGGTGTTGGCTCTAATTAAAATGTTCCTTTAGTGTCTGCTTGTTGCTTCCGTCTCTTCACCCTGGAAAATGGTATGAATTAACCTGCCTTAAATAAGGGATCCAGGGGATGGTTGTTAACTAGTTAGCTCTTGGTGTTTGTGTTCTTGAGTAAATCTTTGGTTTTCGGATATTCCTGTTCTAGTGAATCCCACATGAAAGGGATCGATTGTTTGTATGTATCTATAATTTCTACTGAAAATTAGGGTAGATGAGTTTTGTGGGTCTGCTAGTGAATTTGTGTCCATTTAGGTGGCCTGTTTTACCATGTCAAATTTAAGTCTAAAAAAAGAGAGATGGGTTTGGAAAATTGGAAAAAACAAAACTATGTATTTGCCATTTTATATTTTTAGGCCTTCATCACTCTTTTTTGGAGATGTACAGGCTACTGAATGCATCAAGAACTTCAATTTCAGCAGTTTATAAGTCTTCATGTAACTGCTTATATTTATATGTATAACGAGTCATTGTTGCTGATGAAATGAAAGATCAAATGTGGAGATCTGTCTCTTGCAGCAATGCTACTTAGATTTGCTGGTTTTTATGGATGAACGGGTTGATTGTTTACCTTTTGTCTTTTGTAGATTTTCCAGGGAATAGATGCTGGGAGTCCTGTTTATATTTCCATATCAGTATGATGCTACTCCATAAATGGAGTAGTTTATTTTCTTGCTCATATTTGGCTCTGTGGCCATTTATATCACATCAAGTTTTAAGATCTTCCTATTTTAGTTCCGATATGTGGGGTGTATATAGATTTTTGTATTTATTCAGTACCTGTTTGGACACATGAGGTTGCAGATGTTGGGGCTAGATTGCAGAGGTGTATGCTTTGCTTCAAATATAAGGGTTTCTGATCATTGTAGAAGTATGACGTAATCATGTTTTCCAGGAGCTCTTATGTTTGGGATTGTAATGATATTATTTCATTTGATGGTTTCGGACTTTTAATGTCCATAAAGAAATGGAAAGATGCGGTTATAACTCTATATTTAAGCTGCTTTCTGGGAATTGTGAAAAGGATGGAAATATCTTTTCCTAGGAGACTAAGATCTGTTTAAGGCGGACAAGATGATTAGAATTTTGAACTTATTCGTACTCATAAAGTTCCCTTTCCCTGGCTGCAACTTTGTAGAGGTCTTGAAAGAAGGAAATGTTTTTGTGGATTATTTTTGGTATTTCTGTCTTTAGGGCTCTTGCTTGCTCATGGGTGTTTCTTATCTCTTTCACATCTCTGACCTCTTTTCTTGTGATGCTTTTTATCATGATGAAGTTGACAATTGATAATTGGTATGTGCCATTATTTAGGCACACAGGAGTTACCAGGAATTCTGCTTCTTTCATGGACAATGCTTAGGGCAAGCTTTGATCAAAGTGTTGATTTGTCTTGTTTGCATTTCGTTTTCATGTTTTGGGTAGTGAAAGGGTTGAATATATTTTACGTGATATGCCTACGTAATGGATTCCAGCGTAATTGGTGAAGATACTCTGTCTCTTGAGTTGAATTATTTATTATTGCTTTCCGGAATTTTCAGGAGAAGGACAAAGAGAAGAAGCACAAGAAGGAGAAGAAAGATAAAGAGAAGAAAGAAGATAACGAAAAGAGGGAGAAAGATAGGAGTGATGGAAATCATAGGGATAAGAAAGACAAAAAGGAAAAGCATAGAGAGAAAAAGGAGAAGGATAGAAATAAGGATAAAGACAAAAGTAGTGCCTCGGATGGAAAGAGACTTCTGGGGCAAGCTAAGCTTAACAATGGAGGAGGTAAAGCCTCAGAGGAAAGAAAACTTCCTGGGCAATCTAAGTACATCAATGGAGATAAAGCTGTGGATGGCAGAAAACTTCCAGAGAAATTTGAGAGTAATGGTGGAGAGGTGTCCACTCAGAAGGGGAAGGAAAGGGATGTGGATAAAAATAGTATCTCTGGTGACAAAAAATTTGCTGGACAATTTTCAGGTTACAGTGGTCAGAAGCTCATTCAAAACAGCAATTTGCCTCACCAACCTAAGGAGTCTAAATTTGTGCAAGAGCTGGGCAAGAGAGTCAGAGATGAAGACAAAAACCAGTTCTTTGAGAAGTTCGCTGGTCAAGATGCAAAAATGGACGAGGGAATGTTCAGATCAGTGGCGAAGGCCCCAGGTAATTGTGTTGGAGGAAACGAAAAGAACAAGAGAGATGATGATAGAAAGTTGGATGGGCAAGGAATCAGGGATGAGGCAAGATTTAGTGAAGGTGCTCAGAGCCTTTCTGGAACATTTCAGGCTAGAACTGATGGAATGCCAAGACCACTGGAGAGAGACATTGAGAAGAAGATGGAAGGGAAAGATAAGACCAAACAAAAGGAAAGCGAGGATAAACGGAAGGATAAAGAGAAAAAAGGCAAAGAGAAGGATAAAGTCAAGGATAAAGAGAAGAAAAGGGAGGAGAAAGCAAAGGAGAAAAGTGAGCATAAGAAGAAAGAGCCAGTTAAATTGAAGGAAAGCAATATGTCTGATGTTGTCGGTAACCATACTTCAAAAACCTCACATCTTCTCAAGGAAAGCACTACTAGTGCTGCCAATGAAGTAAATATCAAGAAGCGAAAGGACTCGGGCACAAATGGATTTTTCCATGGTGAGTCAAATTCAAATGTCTATTATTGAAATCGTGTGAACAAATGTTTCTTTTAACCAGATCTTGGTGGGTTTATTATGTTCTCGAAGGTATTGATTTTCAAGTTTTGATATTGATTGGCCAAAAATGTTCTCAGAGATTAACCCATTATGTCTAGCAAAGTCCAAACTCCACATACTTTTTATCAGCTAATGCATTCTGCTTCCCTTTTGTTTTCTGTTGCAGCTAATGATATTAAGCCTAATAAGTTGCCAAGGCCTGCTTCTTCGTTGCCTCTGTCAGCTGAGAATGGAAGAATGTTGGGAATGTGCCAAATTCCCACTGCAGTTGTACAAGGTAGGCAGGAGGCTGTCTATAGTGATAAGGTAGATGATAAAGATTACAAGAGAAATGGTTTGATTGAGCCACAAGCTCTGTCCATCTCCTCAACAACCCAACCGCTATCTACCTCTTTAACGGAGTCTTTAACAAAACCTTCACATTCAACTGCACAAACTGATCAAGTTGCTGAAGTGTCTAGGAAACAACCCCATCCAGATTCCAAGTATCTGCCTGAGGTGCTTACAGTACCCAAAATGGAAGAGTGGTCTGATTTTGAGGATCAAGAATGGCTATTTCAGAGCACCAATTCCGAAGCAAAGAAGTCCAAGGTTGGGTTTTCGGGGGTTGACGAGACACCACAGGTTTGGTCAGAAGCTCTGCAGATAGAGTCGGCTGATGTTTATGCACTGCCATACGTTATTCCCTATTGATGATTTCAGCAAGGGGACTTTGTTGACCATCCTGCACAATCTAATGTGATCGACCCTCCAGAGGACCACACTGAGGAGAGGTATAGCAGCATCTGTGCCTTGGTTATTTGATTCTCTAGCTGCATTTTTCTGATTCCTTGGACAGTGCAGTCTGCAACTGCCTCTGTTTTGAGACAGCAGTGATGTGCTTTCTTCAACTGCCTGAGTTTTGAAAGGTGGTGGGTGCAAATGATCTCAGACACGGCATGCAATGCCAGAGTGAGCACTATACAAGGTATTTATTGAATTGCAGGTTTTTCCTCCTGGCACAGAATCACTAATTGATTTAGAAAAAAGCAACTGAGCAGGGTTGCTTGGAAGAGATGCATAAGCTTGTGCAATTTTATTTTATTTGCCTAAAGCCAAAGCTCTTTCTTGTTGAAAATGTAAAGGAAAATGGCTGTGGTCTTGGCAACTCCACCACAATTTTGATTTGTAACATACAAGGCTTATTTACAGGAAATGCAAGATAGAAGAAAAGGTAGTAGCATTCATTTATTCACCTCTCATGTTACTGTTCTTCATATTTTCTTCATGTTTTATGTCCATTTATGTTCTCAGAGACGAAGATTTTTTTTGGTCCATTGATTTTTTGTCTCCTATCTCGTTTTAGTTCTTTTGTTTCTTATGAATGTTTGTATAATTAACATAAATAAAAATTTCCTAGTCAAAACATTATAGGTCCAATTGCTATTGATGAGTTGTGTGCCAAAAAAATTCCATTTATTACTTAGTTTAGTAGTTTTAGTTGAGGATCCAGAAACAGCTAGCATTTACTCCTGAATAATTCTTATTAATTTTCCTAGGATATGGAGTTTATGAGTTTTCAGTTGTATCTGAATAGGTTAAAGAGTTCAAATGTTGGTCTGAGAGCTATCAATGATCTTGCATGGCGGATGAGATGGGCAGATGGCAAATGGTTTATTACTTCTGCCTTCTGATAAATTGATTGCTTCATGGTTTTTATTTTTATATTTTTAATCTATGTTTGGGCTTTACCTTCAATTTAAACATGTTGAATTAGAGATGAATTATGGGGCTTTGCCTGAGGTTGTAAGAGGAAGAAATCCTAAACTGATTAACGGGAATTGAAAGGTTTGAGTTTAACATATGTATAGAGAAGAGAATCGTCTTGTAGATCTCAATAGTTTATTGTTTGGGATGTTATTGGGGTTTTAATTCCATGTCTTTGTTGCTTGTAATTTCGTGTTTTAAACTTAGATCTTGTTTTTTTTGAAAAATAAATAGTTTGTTGTCCGTATTACACTTATTTCAATTTGATATCTCACTTTATGTTGTGGATCTATTAAAATATATCAAATAAAAAATAAAACAAAATCTAATAATTTTTTAATCAAATTTTTGTATTTAATTGATTATTCTTTATGTTTTTCATAAATTTTCAATTGAAAAAAAAATACGATTTTTATATTTTGTATGCATTGATTCTTAAATAAAACCTGCCGTAGTATAAATAGAAAATTGAATTCAATTTTTTTAAAAAAATATATTTTTTTCCATAATATTGTATAAAAAAATAAAGTTACAATTAATATATATATATATATATATATATAACTTGTTTTAAAATTAACAAATAAAAAATAGTTTTTTATTCTTATTTAATATTAATGAGATGATTATTTTTTGAAAGCAAGTATATTTGATTTAAATATATATTTAATCATAAAATAATCAATATTATAATATTAAAAACTGTATTTGAATCATTGGATGGTTTTTTAAAATATTATTTTAATTATTTTATTGGAAAGAAACTAATTTTAAAATATTTAAAAGAAAAAATAATAGTAAATGGTTGGTGTTATGTGTGTAAATATATTGTTAATTTCTAATAAAGCAATGGTCTAATTTTTTAGTTTTTTTATACATACATCATAATTATACTCATCAGGTTCCGAAAGTAATATATATATATATATATACACACACACATATCACTTGTAAGGAAACACATTAATTGAATGAAATAAAAATTACTATAAAATTAATTTTGATAATTTTTTATTACATAAAAAAAAAGGCAAATAGCACATATAAAATCCCTTTTTAATTGATTATTTAATATATATATATATATATATATATATATATATATATATATATATATATATATATATCTTTGTGTATGTGTTGCTCTCATTTAAAAATCATAAGAATTTATTATATAAATTATATTAATATCTTTTAAAAAAGAAGAAGAAACAACATTCTAAAAAAATTATTCAAAAATCCATACATAGAGAAAAAATAAATCATATTTTTTAACAAATAAAATTATCTTAAAACTAAATTAAGAAATTTATTGGATGTTTCTCTATAAAAAGACAAATAAAAAAATCATTTTAAATTTTGAAAGCAAATAAATCATAAATGACAAATCAAAAAATCATATTTCTTCATCGTCAAACAGCATGAAAATGTAAAAAAAAAAAAAAATTGTTTTTTTATATAAATTTAGCACAAAATCAATACTAAAATACAATAAAAACAATTGCTGAAAAATATACAAAAGAAAGGAAGGGGAAAAAAAGGCCAGGCCTGCGCTTGGAGCCTGCAAAAGCAAGGTCTGGTTGGCCTAGCTTGGCCACATAAATTAAAAAAAAGAACCAATGGACAGCCAATTTTCCACTCAAACTTTCTACGAATTTGAGTTCACCAGAAACTGTCGAAAAAACGGGGTTTTTTTAAAAACATTTTTTGCCCCTAAACCCAACTCATGCATCCTTCTTGCTCCAAAACACTTTAGAACACACTGAAATGAGGTTAAAAAAAAAAAAACATCATGCTTGTAACCTTAAAACTCATTCTAATACATATAAAAAAACAATAACAAATTAAATTTAAAAGCTTATAATGTTTTGAGATCTCGATCTACCTCTTCTAATCATGTTATGTCTTAAAACTATTATAAACAAACTCAACTCTTCTAAATAAACAGATTAAATAGAATATTATTAGTTAAAGTGGTCGAAATAAGCATGACCAACACTTTTTCTCCTCCATTCTCTCTCGTTATTTTTCTCTTTGCATCTAGAGACTAAAATGCACTACAAATAAAATTTGTAGATCAAAATAAAATATATAAAAACATCAGAGACTAAAGTGCAAAATATTGTATAGTTTGCATGCAATTGCCTGAAAATAGGATGAAAATTAGAAAAATACCACTGGCTGAGTCTATATGAACATGAGACACAGTGAAAAATAACTAACTTCAAATCTTCTCGTTTGTTTTATAATAATTATGGTGTATAAAGTGTGAATGCTCCTTTAGTGATGCTATCATTTTGTTTTATATGCTAACTAATGATTTATAACCTTCCCTGTACTTGTTCCTCAAGATTCTCTCTTTACGTCTTTGTCTAGATAATACTTAGATCTTTTTCATTTTAGGAAGTTTCTTTTTCTGTGTTCTTTCTTTATTTACTAATCATGTTTTTTGTGTGGTTAAACTTGTTTTAAGTAAGGAATGAAAAAAAATTTAAAATACTCAAAAAAGTGACTATCAATACATATTTTACGAGTTCATTTTAAAGAAAGAGACATGAAAAAAAATCGCATCCAAGCGCACAAATAGAAAAGTGTTAGCATCCAAAGTTTTCTCATTTTCAAAATTCTTAAGATACTTTTAATTTTCTCCTTTTTTGGTTTAAAAAATAAAGAAATAAAAAAACTAATAAACAAAGAAAAAAGAAAAAAAAATATATATATATATATAATAAAAAGAAAAAAAACTAAGGAGAAAAAAAATCGTATCTCAATCCTAAAAAAAATGATAAAAATATTTTCACCTAAACACTTTTTTTTTTAATTCTCTATCTTTCATCTATCTCTTTTATCTCTCTCCTATAGAGTAAGTATTGATAATGATTCTTTGAGTATGATAAAATTTTTCAAATAAATGAGTTGTTGCTAGTACTTAAGTTGTCAATGGATCGCAAATCTTGATATGAATTTAATTCGACTTTGATGTAACTAAATGGATATCATATACAATTTTTATAATCTGAATTTGTTAATCCATTTATTAAATGAATCGAGTATGGATCTATCTTGATTATTATATTGATATTAGATTATTATCGAACCGAATCGAGATAGATCCATACTCAATTCGATCCGATAATAATCTAATGCAAAATTAATATCAATATTATTCATAATAAATATAGTATTTTAAAAACATAAAAAAATAAAAATACAAAATAAGAAAAATATGACACTACCTTTAGATTTAGGATTTATTTACTCTAGATGCTAAGAAGAGTTCTATGTTCTTGGTTTTTTTTTTCTTCTACATCTATTCTTTAAAACAATAACATGATAATGTTTTTCATAATTTTCAAGAATTTTGTGAAAAATCCTATAAATGTATGAAAAAAAAAATTAATCACTTGTTGCTAGTATTATGCTTATATTAATAATTTATAAAATCTTGATTCAAACTGATTTTTTGTTCATTTCAAACTTATCATTTATAAAATACTTGGATTTTACAATGCATTTCTCATACGAAGCAAGCGAAACTACTTGATGTTGCATATTTGAACTCATTAAAGCCTAATTCGCATCATTATGCTCAATAAAAGGAACGAGGGAAGCTCCAATAGAACAACCGTCAACAAAAAGATACCTATACCCGAAATCGACATAGGCAGTAGGCGAGAGAATATCTAAGAGCTTGAGCAACTTATCATTTAAGTTGTCATTTTTAGTATTTTTTTTTTTAAAAATTTTGTCATACTTCTTGCCTAATTTAACTTAATTTTGACCCTAATATAAATTTTATTAGAGTTATTTGATTTTGTTATATTTAATGGACATTTGGATTTTTTTAAAAAAAATTAGATATTAAAAATATTTTTTTTACATGTAATAGTTGAAACTCATTTTATATTGAAACATGATTTTAAAGTTAGTCAACTTATTGAAAAAAATTAATTAATTGATAAATCTAAGAATGTCCCAATTCAATTCAAATCCATTAAAATCTAATTTCAGATCTACAATTGCAAAGCTCAAATTTAAATTCATAAAATCTAATTCGATCTATTTATTAAATAAATCAAATTATTTTTATTATAATCCAATACGAATCTGACTTACTAACATCCCTACTAGTGCTTAATTAATAATCTTTTGACATTTGGTTGCATCATATTTGTGAAATAATTATTTTGTACAATGGTTTAGCATTGGACACAATACATAACATAATAACATGTTATTAATACGCGTGGTTGTGGGACGTAAAACGAAAGAGAGAGTGCACCAACCTCCGGTACAAGTTTTTACCAATAACTTTGGCTTTTTTGTTTTTGTTTTTTTTAATTAACTCGATCCCACGGTAGGGACTAATTTATAATTTACTCACAAGAGTAACCATGGCAGTCCTTTTTGGTCATATATAGAGGTATGTATTCAAAATTAATGAATATATACGCGTGTGGGGGGGGGGGGGGGGGGGGGGGCGTGTGGGGGGTGTGAGGGCATGATATTCTGAGACAGGTTTAGGTCTACATCAAAATTTAAAACACAACTACAAGACTATTCATGGTAACTAAGTTGCATAGAAAATGAAATGGAATATGGAGTGGGGAGTTAAGATAAGTATGAGAAAACAACGAACGAAAGACAGTCTCTATCTAGATCTTGCTTGAGATATGTGCTTCTGCTACCTCTGTAGATCCACATCATGTTGTTGTATGTCATCCTCATAAATATGATTCACAAAACTAACTAAATGCTACTACACTTACATGATCAAACCATGTTTAAGTAATTTAGATTTTTGAGCATGAGATTTTCAGAGTAAATTATATATTAGTCCCTTAGTTTTGAGAAAAAGAACAAATTAGTTCTTCTATTTGAAAAACTAACTATTTAGTTTTTTTCTTTCTATTTTGTGTTTTTTTAA